CGAACTTAATTATTGCAGACATTTCTCCCGCGAGAGGCGCACTGTCTTCAGAATTTGTCAATTATGTAGATGCCCTCAAGAAGATTGAAGATAGCAAAGTCACCACCAGGAAAGAAGCGCAAGCGCTGCTGACCCCGTATGAGCCTGTGCGTCTAACCCTCCGTCTAGCATCTACCGCCCCATGTATGGTTTTGATAATCGTAGATGAGTAGGACTCAATGACGCGCGCGTTTCTCCTTACAAATCTCAAGGCATCGCACTCTGCCCATGAACCCCTCCAGTTTCAGATCCCACTCGATATCATTGGGAGGAACATATCGGAGATGGGCCTATTCCCGTACGAGCCAGGGGAACGGATCTGGAATGGTCCTACTCTATTCATCAAGGGCATGAAGAGCAAGTAGGTCGTATCTGGCGCCTACCTTCTTTCCGACTCTGATCACACTGCAACCAGATACATCAACAAACATAATGTACCCATTGCGCGGGAGTTCTTCCCCCAAATGACCTTAGAACAGCTGGACACTGGACACTGGGGTATGTAATTTCCTTGCTCACGAAAATGAAATTCTCACGACGTCTACCTACAGTTCACGCTGAGAAGTAACTTCCGCCGTTTGTATCTTTTTATATTCCACTGACGCGCCTTGCACGATGCAGACCCAATGAATTCAAACAATTAATTACTAATTTCATTAAGACCGATTGACAGGCTAAAGACAATGCTAGCACAAATACATCTCTACCATAGAAAGCTTGAATGTAGCGCAGAGGAATATAACTGTGATCGTAGAGAGCGTGCAATACAAGGGACAGGTTTTGCCATTGGCGCCAAAAAGAAGCAAAGGAAGTAGCAATACCACATGAATAGACCAGGCATAGTGTTCTGAGCAGCATGGGTATCAATCACCAGAGGCTACCGATAGAAGCAAGTGTGTAAGAGTGAGACACGGAGCAAATCAGACAGAAGTCAGATAGTGAATATTGGTCGTAGGATATGACCGAGGACAGATAGACTAGTCTTATTCACAGGCTTGGATAGGATGCCGAGCGGGCATCGCCAGTCGCAGCAGAGAGAGATAGGAGAGGCACAATCATAGAGTAAAAATATACTGGCAGCTTCTAACAGATCGACGAGGTGACTGGTGATTTGGGAAGATATAGATTGGCGATGAGCGCTTGGAGTTGGGTCGGCGGCGACACAGGAATTGACACGGTACAGGTAAGTCATTGCGAAGAGCCTAGATAGCATATTTGAGCTGTGGTTCTTCATCTCCGTGCCGAAAGACATCTGCCTCCGGTATCTTGAAGAAACCATCACCTTCCGCACTTTGACACGATGACTCCCGTCGGCCCATAATCGATTCTCGACCCTTCGCGGAAATTTGCTTCTTCAGGGACCCTGAGGCGTCATGCGGATCCGGAGGCGGCTCAGAAGTGATGATTCCGGTTGCGTCCAGGAGCGAGATGATATCTTCAAGCTGTCGTGATTGCCGTTTCTCCTGAATCTCAGGCGTCCTGGTTGAGAGAATCGGAGATGTTGCGCGTGGCGATGAAGAAGATTGTATAAGGGGATATTTGACAGCTTCAAAAGCATGTGTTGGATGCTGGCGACTGTGGCTCCGAATGAACGATTTACCTTTCTGCACATCACGCGGCACGCCTTGTTTGAGCGATGGCGATAAATGAGTCTCAGGACCGTCGCACGATGCGTCACAAAACATTGTTTCAGAGGCATATTCTCTAGTCGGGGCTTTAGCGGAGGATGCGTGAGGAAGAAAGATGAGCGCGAGGTTGTAGAAGTCTTTACCTCCCATAGAGGAAATACGGTACCAGTCCACGGTCTCGTCACCGTGCCCAGGGGTCGTGGTACCGCTGGTGTAGACGCTGAAGTCGTAGAGGTGTGAACGATCGACTCCTTTCATGATCTTCATATGTGGGATCTTGTCGACAAAGTAAGAATCCGCACTAACGCCGAAAGGATCGACTCCGCTTTCATAATCAGCGAACAGCTCAGGGTGCTCTGGCGATTGAATGACACTAACTGATCGCAGACCACGAGAAAGACGAAAGGAGATCGGTGATAGGAGCCGAGGGTCCACGATCTCTTGTATGGCGGCGGAACCAGTACCAGCTAGTACCTCCTCTGAGACAGCAATTTTAGGAAGGCTCTTCGCAGTGGGTGACAATGCAGGTGTTTGTGGCGGCGACAAGGATGCGACAGATGCAACCGATGAGCAAAGAGATGGGCATCGTTGCGAAGAGGATCCAAGATTGGGTATCAACTGAGCTGGTGGACTGTCAACAAAAATGGGAAATAATATCAAAGGTGCGGTGGCATCATTGATGACGTTGCCAGCTGCTGAGTTAGAGTCCATCTGGAAGAGAAATTTATATAGACAACTCGCCATGTAATTGCGGTGTTTTCAACGGGTGAATGGCCTTGGTTTAGACCGTCATCTTGATGGGTCGCATGCAAACTTGTGTTAGTATGAACGTTTAAAACATTCCGAAATGTGCACAAACTCACCATAGATGTGTGGAGTAGACGTGTACGCTGCTTGACTGCGATCCAGCACAGACTTGTCTCTAAGTGACGACATGAAAAGCGTGGCCGGAGCACAGGAGACTATGGTAGCCTCGAGATCAAGTTCCACAGGGGAGGTGCACTTATGAAAAGAGAAGATGGACCACAAAGCACGGAGTGAATGCAGCGCAGCGACGAAAATGTTGAAAAACTTGAAGGCGGGCATGCTGACTTGCTGAGCGCACGTCCACAAAACGCTGCGTGAACGTCCGCCGATTCAGTGCTGCTCTTGAAAAGAGGCTGACCCAACGGTCATCACCTCGGGTGATGCTGCCAGGTTTCCCGTAATTGAGTATTTGACCATACTCAAATGAAGCGGGCGCGATTGTCTTGATTTTGTTAATACGTTCGCATTGGGTTTTCATTTCACAGATAATAGAAGGACCACGCGTCGACAAGTTTCGTGTCGCTGTGCATCGATTGGACAGGATAGACTTCACTACCTTGATTAAAACGCGGCCGCTGTAGCCTGTATGAGGCGGCGTTTCACTGAACTCGAGTGCTATCCCACTTACCGAGAACTGCAGTAACACGTAAAATCGCGATTTTTCTCGAGATACACTGAAGGGCCATCTCTTCAAGTTCCACTCGCTAGGGCCATTCTTCAAGCTTCAAAGCTAGATCTTTATAGTAACAGGATGTAAACGAATCTACTACCTGATGGGTGCCACGGCAGCCAGCGTAAATCAAAACTCCGACCGAAATATATTGAGCGCTCATTCGTTCTGCTGACGTTTGAGATTCTGGACTCGTACCTCCTCGAGCTCTCCTTTGCAAACGATTCTAGTGCAATTCTATGGCTGCTCTTGTTCATGTCTGGCGCAGGACTCTTCACTTTGCGTGCATTCGTAATTGTTCTCCATGTATTCCGACGTGTAGACTTGTTGCGATTGTGCCCTGTCTTATTCCTGCGTTAGCCTAGTGCTTTCGTTCGCAGTTATGCGGTCGAAGGCTCTAGTCGTTGCTTTCGCAGACATAAGACATAGTTTTTTCGGACGAGGGATAGCCTGTTTGTACTGTCATAATGCGTGCGATTTGTTGTCTCAGTCGAATCAGCATCCGCAGTAGGTGATTCTAATTTGTTGAACGGTGACTGTATAGCTGCGTTAGTCATCTTCTGCATGGTTGACCCAGAATGGGGTGTTGTATCGCCTACCTTGAGCTTATTGGGAAAGCCTTGCGTCCCAGGCGCCGAGATAAAAGGATGTGGCGCAAGGACCCACAGCTGCACAGGAGACCTTGCTATCTTTCTCCCGGTCACATCCGCACAACATCCACAGGTCCAGCTTGATTCCTCAATTGTACGCGAGACACAATACGTGGAAGTCCCCAGAATTGTCAAGTGTTCTCAAAGCCTCAGACGTATACAAGAAGCGTGGTCGTGGCCTCCAGGTCTGTATGCGAATTGACTAGAATGGTCTGTAAAAGTAATGAGTGCAACAGCTAACCGAACACCAAGCATCATGTATCTTGAACGAATTCACACATCGTCCCCTGGTCTTTCCGAAAAGACTCGTTCTAGAAGTAGTGTCCTTCCAGGCAGATCGTTATTCGATATGTCTCTCACGCCCTCAACGGCGTACTTGGGCTATCGACGGACATTGTCGGAAAGTTCGAAGCAGACCCAGATGCTTTGCCTTGTTTCCGACCGTCCACGTGTGAGTTTCTACACTCACGCTATCGCTTTTCTTGCTTGAATGCTTTCCGACAGGATCCATCAGACTGGACTGAAGAACACGTGAAAAGTTATATGAAACGGCTCTCGCTCCGCTCCACGACAGAGTTGGAGGATTGGATCACAGATCAACACCTTACTGGTAGATTCTTTATCCAACTCAATAGTGAAGAAATATACAGGTGAGCATAACCATTGTTGATTAAGATTCAGTGCTAGAGTTGCATTTCTTTGATATAGGTTTGGACATAGTCTCGAACTAAACAGGGACATTCAAGAATTGTCCCAAAGCCTTCGGGAAAGGGCGGATCACATTAGTAGTCCGATAAAAATACGCCCACCAAAAGTGTGGAACCTATTCGATCCTGTTGCTTCTATTACTACTGCCAAATCCCACATTTCCAATAAGATTGAGGAGACAAGTGTTCACAGCGCTAGCTCTTCACGCGACAATGAAGACCCTGTGAACAACTTGCAGGATCGTGCGCAGACCGCCGGTACCAAACTCGGGGATCATGGTGGGGCTCGCATACATGGAATTTAAGTCTTGTCTAACCTGTGTTTGACATCAGATGTAGGTGGTGAGAATTAGGTTGGTAAATATCCAGTTCTCGAACCTCTGACGCAGGTACGAATGGCTTACTTGCACCATTTAGATTCTCATTTCCTCCTTACATTGTGGCACGTAGCAAGCTTGATGAGCTGTTCCAAGCATCACGGCTCATGACTCATTGGATTGGTCACGATGTTTTTACAAACGCGTTACGGAGGTCACTCATCCATGACCTGAGGCTAGGGAAAGTCCGGGCTTATGGGTTCCGAGTTTCCGACCGCTTCTTTTGACACGGTGACTGTATTACATCTATTTCGTCTGATGCTTTATGCGTTCTCCGCCTAGGTTCTGTACGCTAATCTCCGATTTTCTCCCACTCGTGTATCTTGTAGCTCTCATGGTCAAGGTCTTGCCCGTCATGTATGTGCGCTATTAGTCTTCCTCGTGCCGTAGTGTATGTATACCCAACGCCCCCGGCTGGACTTAGGATACGAATTGAAATGATGCTGATGAATTTGTGTTGATTATTCCAATTGTCGCAAGACTGCCAAATTTCTATGCTTAAGTCTAATCATCGAATGGAGACTTCGGGTATGTCATTATTTTGAGGTTAGGCCATCATGTTCATGAGCACTGATTATCTTCAAGCTGTAGATATGAAAGCCACTATGTTCGATCTGGCCATGGCTTTGACGGTCTCGAACGTAAGGATAAGTTGTGACGGATGTACGAGTTGCCCAAGGGCAGATCTATCATCTTGAGAATCCCATCTGCCCGGAGACCGTTCCACTCGATCCGACATCGAGACGAGTGGACAAGCCCCGCCAGTAATAAATGTCCCTGTCAATTGATTCCAAACCGAAATCACTTGCTGTTGGCTCCGAAGGTAGAACGACGATCCTTACCCACGACGGACATATCACGCAGCTAAGAAGCCTCAGATTGACTCGAAGGTTCACAACAATTCCCGTCGGCAAATGAGATCTTACACTAGCCTTGTCATTGTCAATGGTTCTAGGTCAGGGGAGAAGAGAGAGAGATAATTTCGTACACCGGATAGATCAGGTGGTACAAGTCCCTGCCCAGTGTTAGGCCGTCCCGACAGTCGTGACAACTTTTGTCAGGCCGAAACGATTAGCAGAGCACGCGTCGCAATTCTTCCCTGATGTATCATCTCCATAATTTGAATGTCTAGTCCTTGAAAATATACACGAGTCCTGCGAAGTATTAGTATGTATATCCCACCCTCGCTGTCCAAGCACAACGGGCACACTATATGAGCATAAGGGGCTTAAATGCTTTCAATAAATTTCGTGAACTCAATATTTCTTCTACGATAATAAGGCGTTGAAATAGTCCTAGGAAGAGCCTCATCGCGAATCACTATCTCCCTCAAGGCCCATTCGGTCCAACTACAACCGCCTTTGTTTTTGTGAGGAGATCCATGGTGTTTTGAGACAGGCCAAGATGCGCCTCCACCATGGCAGGTGGTGTCAATGCCAGCCACTGATGCGGAAGTTATGCATTTGATACACAGGCGGATGAAAAATAAGACAGTACTCACCTGGTTTAGACTGACATCCGCATAGACAGCTATAGTCATTCTAGTGAATGACCTTGTTCTTCAATTGAACCAGAGAACACACACGTACCAGTGTTGAAGATCTCGAGGAAATGCAGGGTGTCGTTGCCAATGTTCTCAACATAGTGTCCTAAAAACGTAGATAAGAATGATATTCATATGTGGTGCTTCAGTCGTACGCACCGTATGTAGCGGGAACGAAACCGATGTCGCCGGCCTAATCGCGATTGAGTCAACAGATTGACGGATTACACTTGTACAAACCTCATAGTTGTATGTCCGTGCAGTACTTGACGAGGCAAAGACTGTAACCCGAGCGGCCCCACCCCTATCATCGCGGGTAAGGGTGCGTGATGAGATAATTTCGTGGAGACTCACAAGTAATAAGTCCATTCGTCCTGAGTTGGGTGCCACTTTGGTCATAATCAATACACTGGAAGTGTAGATTTAGTTTTGGAAGAACTTACGTGCAGCTCCCTGCAAATTTTCAGTTTGTTACCTTTTCTTGGAACATTCACAAAATACTCACCTCATTCCTCCTGGCTCCACAGTGACATCGGCGACAGAGATCGACGTCGACACAGGGAATACAGTCGAGTCGGCAATCTTGACGGAGCCTCCCGCTAATTGCGTGGGGGTAACTTCCGAGAATTTGTAGGTATAAGGGCTTGGAACTTGTCCCTGAGGATCTTCTGGTGCAACAGCATCAGGAGAGGGTGAATCTAATGTAACAACAACTTAAGCAACGTTCATGCAATGGGAAGTGAACTCGTACTTCCGGGGAATATGTACAGTTGCTGAGCAGGAATGTTATTGAATGCTTCTATGGTAGTTCCAAAGTTTTTGGCCAAGACATCTTTGGGAGTATGGGCTAGCCAGTCCGTCAACTATCATGTGATCAGCTAATGTGCTCTGGCTCGTAGTTGACCGCTTACCAAGAACGTGGAATCTTCGCTGAAATCTCCGTCATCGAAGATCTATCTGACGTTAGAACTTGTCGGGTTTTGAAGCTGAAAGACATACCAGGAGGAACTCGGCCCCATCTTCCGTTTGGTTGGTGGCCTGAAGACTATGTGGGATACCCGCCGGGAAATACCATAGATCGCCGGGGCCCTAACAATTGAAGGACTTAAACGTAGCCATTGAGTGGATCGAGAGGATCTGTCCTACAATTGTTCCCAGGAAATTTCTACCGTTACTGTCTACCGCCGATACTTGCATATATCCCTGTAAACGTCGATGTGAGTAGGGAGGGGGTTGTCCATACACGTGTCCGTACACTTAAAACATAGGCCCACTGGTGTAAAAAATTAGTGTAGCACAGGCGCTCCGATATATTGCCTACTCACCTCCGCGGTCTTGTGCCAGTGGAGTTCACTAGAGGAATACTAAGCGATTGGACCTGCGTGAATCGGACATAACACACCGAATTGCGCCGGCTTCCAGGCGCATATCGACACCAGCCATGGCTAACGACACCATCAGCCGTGTGTGCAAGCATTGGCCGTGGAAAACTTACAGGTTGCAATGGACAGTTGATTTACTGGGATTGGTCGTCGTTAGCGGTGGATCGACTAATTTATTCGAGGAAACCACTGTACTATTGGTTTGGCGAGCCCATCCTCCAGTTTGAAGTCGATTCGAGCTCATGGAGAAGGGCCATTTCAAATTAGGACTGTTCAACTTCTTAGCATTGTGTAGCAGTAGGACATCCAAATTTAACTTACATATCACCTGCATCCGTTGTAGGCGGCGCAAGAAGATCTGGGTTGAGTTGTTGAAGAGGGATATTCTGCTGGGCCATGATAGATGCCCCAAGAGCTCCTCGAATCGGCTGCGGATCGGTGTCGGTGTCGATGGTGACATTCCACAGCACAGCGTTTGGGTCGTCACTCGCAAGGGCAACAGTCTCGCTCGCCGGTATCGCAGAGATGACTGGCGTACCAGATCCAGCTATGCTGCCGGTTGGGGCCGCAGACGCCAGGAGAGGGAGAAGAGGGGCTAAGAGGACGAAGACGAGGAATCGATTCATGTCTAGTGAGTAGCCTGGAGGTCAGCATTTCTCCCTCTCGGTTTTATAGTTGACGAATCCCGTATTCCTGACGGGTGTCTCTGACCGTAAGTGAAATACAAGAAGCTGACATATGCAGTACCGGTCCACTGTGCGAACGAATAACATGACCACTTACTAGAGGACCATGAACAACACACGCGTAGCCCGCGAGCCTGACCGTAACATGCCTTCCAATATTCCCAGATGTTGCGAGTATTTTTGGTACACTACGAGCCTCCACGGCATGTCGTAGATTGGCTTGAGGAAACCCCACGAGTGATCCGCTCCGATTGGAAAATGGCCTGTACTCAGCGATTCGACTGAGGTTCCGTACTCACGCCACGATTTCTCGGATCGATTCTCGTCCATTAGTGGTTCTCGTAGCCTTTACGAAGCCATGTCTTGAGATCCAATCAGACAGAATTTCATTGGTGGTGCCCAACGGCCGCCTCAAGAATGCCGGTTGAAAAATCTCACAGAAATTAACGGCGATGTGAGCCGCATCGTAGGAGATCGCATTGAGTGTATAGATAGCACACAGTCGGGCCTAAGCGGAAGTTGTGGAGAAGCTATCATGATTCCTGTTTAAGAATCACGCACTAGCGGTAGCTCATCTTCTCGAGAGAAGACACAAAGAGACTCACCGTAACAGCATAATTGCACTATTGGACTGGCGGAAATTCTCACTGCGCGTTTTGCTGGTCAGAAAAATCACACTGAGCAGGGAAAACCGGGAATGAGGCAAAGAAGCACGACCTCACTGTTCCTGAAAGGTCCGAAAACTTAGACTGCAGCTCCGTTGGAGCACATGTAAGTCCATTATGTATTCTTGCGCAGATCACAGGGATTGGGGAAATATTCGTAATGTGCGAGGAGTGACAGCCCACTTACGGGATTCGGAACAACCTTAGTGTATCGGACCGAGCCTCACGCTATCTAGATAGCTTCAAAGAAAATAATTCCAGCACGTTCTTCTATTGCAAGAAATATGATATCCTTGGAGTCTAGTTCTCAAACCCCTGAAGATAAAAAACGTAGAATAGATACCGACTCACGATGCGACTAACCCTTCTTCGAAGCTGCAGCTCGGAGATGCTTGCAGCGGCCCGAGCACACTTCAAGTTGTACAGATGACACGTACGGAGGAACCAGAGCCCAATGCGCCACCGCATCATCTGCGGTGAAAAGATATGATTGATCAAATATTGAAGCACAAAACGATTTTGAGGTACACATGGATTGTAAGCTGTTCACTCGTCGCCTGCAATTCTCGTACACTTGTGCCTTGTCCTGCTGAATCGTCGGATGTCGTTAAATTTGCAGAAGTCGTGGCCTGCAGAGCCGAGAATGCCTAAGCGGAGAATCCTAACGGATGTCGAAGGTTCATCGTTCGTGGAGATCTCTGCTATCTGTATCTAATAACAGGATATTTCGTGAAGTTAGCGCAAGCTATTCATAGCTGGGCATAGAAGCAATGTATTCCTACCCCTTGACACCGGCAATTTCTACTTTTTTCTCCAGACAATGTCGTAAATCAGCTAAAATCAGGTAAGCACTGGGACACAAGCAGCGACGGCCCGAACGGCTCAAATGATATCGTGAAAATATCGTTCCTGTATGCAATGAGTTGATATCAACCCAATAAGATGGTCAAATCACATGTTTGGTCTGTCACTGCCAGCAATAGACAAATTCGCTGTACAACTGCTATCCAATCCCACTATTGAAAATGGGAATCACCGATTTAAATACTATAATGGAGAGTCGGAAACACGAGCCGTCTATTATATAAGGTAAAGGTGTCGTTATATAGCTTACAGGGAACTTATGTATACTTGTGTAAGATGGTACATCTAGAGGAATGTATTTTCAGTTGATAATCACAGAGAAATTATCAGTAAAACATCCCTTAACTTGAAAACACGCTAATGCAAGCTCCATCTTCAAGAATGCGGATAGATTGATCAGCGGTCAGAAACCAGCTGAATCCCTTCACATGACCATTGACACCTGGTGCAACACGATACTTGAAGGCACGAAAGGGAGAATGATATGGCATTCCCTGCACATGCATGTGTAGATGTTCTACTGAATTAAAGGGTGGAATATGGAAGCCAAGGCTGTATGGGCGGTTTCAGCAAAGTGAAACTAATCCATCAAGCTGTGTAGATTTGTTCAGCACCTACCGGCGATGTGTAGTAGGGACACCTAAATTGTCTAGAATCTGCTTGCCTATTTCGCCCATCTCCCTAACTGACCCGGGTGAGATGAGTTTCATCTACTGAAATTCTTGCTAAATACTCATTGCAGCGTCAGCTGTTTTCAGCGTTTTCACACTACCTGTAGTCATAATCGACGATTAGCATGCCGCACATTAAAGGTGAGTATAATTATGGCCTATCGTACCGACGTGACGCCGTGGAATCACCAATATGTGTTGCGCAGCCGACGGATTACGGTCGCGAAATGCAATATATATTTCATTCTGGGAAATTCAGCAAAGCCCGCACGGGGAAATAGAACCTTACCTCCCATACTACACGAAAGCCGTCGTGTGAGGTTACTCGACAGAAAATACATGTCTCGTCACCTCCGGCAGGCACTGCTGACGGTGGAGCTCGGATGCTTTGATCATTTTTGGGACTACTGCGGTGAACCCATGCCCAGAAAAAATCTATCAGCATGTCCACTAGCTACAGGTGAGTAAGCAAAGGACAGCGTGAAGATTTGTCGACACTGAAAACAGGACTTTCTTATTCGAGACGAGGTCAACCTCGAACAACACGTGATCTACGCGTTTCGCGTCGATGAGATCTTGCCCCGGGCTAGGCGACTCTCGGGCGACTCCTTACCAGATGAGCCCCCAAGTTCCAGACGGCGAACTATCTGAAAACCCTTTTATATCAACACTGCCCTTTCATCCTGAGAAGTGACTATGCATGAGCCTACAGCAGATGATAACCGAGGTACTTGCCTCCACCTCACACCTCATTTCCTGGAAAGCGAGGTCCTGGCACACAAGTTGAGAGGAATGGCTATATGGACTGTGCAGCGCTCGCAACTCACCATGAAGCCCGCTAAGCGACGCAAGGTGATCTAGTCATTCCTCCAGTTCTCCGGATAATCAATCGATACTGACTGGGTTCCAGATCGCTGTTCCAGTCTGCGGGACCTGTGAGATAGCCCTCTCACGTCCCTTCGTGTGTTTGAATTGTTCCTACTCGGGATGTTGGCGGGGAGGACACGTCAAAAGACATCTAGAGGAGTCTGCTCACAATTTTTGTTCGTATTATTGATCCTTCCCAGTGTTCAGAGCCCCTCAGAGTCCGCGTGTACTATCTCCATGTGCCACGCACATGTGGCCCTGCATAGTCGTCGATCATCGGACTAACTCCTCTTTGAGAGCAGGTGCGGATGTCAAGACAGGAACTATCTTCTGCAACGAGTGCAATGACTTCGTGTACGATCGTGCCGTAAATCGGTTGCATTCTGTCGCTGCTATTGCGGCGGAGGAGAAGATGACTGCTTTCCAAGGTAAGTGTTTCCATCCTCCAGCGACCGGTGTTCGGACAGGCCTCACATGACCTTCAGCGGCGAAAAAGACCCGCGAATCCTACAGGCCCTGGGTCCCCAACAACAAGGAGGCGGCTCTCCTTGAAGATTCCGACGCACTCCCATGTCAAGGTCTGCTGAGTTTTTTTTTTTCACCGATCATCATAGGCTCTTTATGCTGACTCACGAAATTGTCCCGAATTAAAGGTCGAAGGGGTCTTTTGAATCTTGGTCAAACATGTTTTCTGAATGCCATTCTTCAATCTTTTATCGTGAACCCGCTCCTGAGAGACTATTTTCTCAGCGACAAACACAATTCTCAGCTGTGTAAGAACAAGGACTGTACGTGTTGCGAAATGGATAAGCTCTTTGTGGAGGTAAATATACCATCCTGATATCCTTGGTTTGTGCTGCATGTTGAATGATTACGAGATCTTTTCGGATAGCACGACAGCGTACGGGCCGACAAGCTTCCTTGCAACAACATGGCGTGCTTCATCGGAACTTTCTGGGTACACACAGCAAGATGCACATGAATTTTTCATCTCCGCCCTGAATCACATTCACACCACGTCAAGAGGTTCGACCAAATTCCAGTGTATTTGCATTGTCCATTCGACATTTGCTGGCCTCCTTCAAAGCGACGTCAGATGTGAGAGGTGCGGTAATGTCACCACGGCAGCCGACCCAATGCTGGATATCAGCCTTGAACTTCAAGATAAGGGCAGCGGACGTTCTGGTCAGGAGTTAACGCTAGCCTCATGTCTCCGAAAGTATGGCATGTCTTCACGATCATCGAATGCTCTTCTGACTGGCCTTCTGAACGTCATGACAGATTTACTCAGCCAGAGAAGTTGGGACCGAATGAGTATAGTTGCTCTAAATGTGGGAAGTCTTCCCATGTGCGTGCTAATTGTAGCCAATCTCTTGTTTTGCTGTGCTGCTGTGCTAATTCTTTACCCCAGGAAGCGAACAAACGATTGAGCATCCGAAAGCTTCCGCCGGTGCTCAGCTTCCAATTCAAGGTGAGAATTTTCGAGCTTCAGAATCTGAAATCTCTAATTCAATGTAAATCAGCGGTTCGAGCACAAGGTTGGCGACAAGTCCGCAGCCCAAAAAATCGAGGCTCCTGTTCGCTTTCCCTCCACCATAAACATGGCACCATACACCACGCTAGCATTGGACCCCAGAGATCAGGAAGGCAAAGGTGGCGGAACATCGAATCCCGTGTCGTCCGCGTGAGTGAATTTCTTGTTTGTCTTCACAAAACAAAGCTTGCTAAGTTCGCATCGTGCTGTTCGCGAAGCCTCCCTGGGCCTCGGTCCATGTACGAATATGATCTCTTCTCCGTGGTATGCCACGAAGGCCAGATCAACAATGGTCACTACACGTGCTTTACGCGTTCTCAGGATGAGGTAGGTCCGATTTGTCCCACGAGTTATTCATATTCTCTCACCTGTAGCAGTGGTACAGATTCGACGACGACAAGTGAGAACCAAACATGATTTTTCTCATCATTTGTGCACCACTGATGACGCATCGTGTAGGGTGACACACTCCAGCCTCCATGACTGTCTCGGGTCCCAATCATCAGCGTATATGTGCTTTTATGTGAAAAGACATCTCGATTATGCGCCATATGTGACACCATCTTATAAGGTCACGAGGGAAGCGGAGGCTGTAAAGGAGAAGGAGCGGGAGCGGGAAAAAGAGGCAGCCCGTATGCGAGAAGTGGAAGATGCACTATTGGCAACAGTTTGACGGCTTCCAGGCCGAAACTTTAATCACAAGTGTCCGCAAATAGTAGAGTAAGCAGTAGGTATGAACGTGCATGGCAGTCAGGATACAAAGTGGTAGGTATATGTGCTGGGTAAGATACAGTAGGGAACTGAACATGAACAGTATGAGAAACAATGTGATAGCAATTGGCAAAGGGCACTGGACAGTAGTTAGGGAATAATGTCACTAAGCTCCCCCTCTCGAACCCGGATTTCCACTACTTCTACCTCATAATCCATCGAGGAATTTGTGGATGATACCGAAGAGGACACGAAACCGCATGCATTCGGTGGAGAGGTCGAGGCAACATCTATACGCCGCACAATTAGTTCACATGCGTGACGAGGGAGTTTGATTAGCAAGCGCAACAGGAGACCAAGATGACAAACGAACATCGGTCCTTGATGTACGGCGGCACAAAGAGATCCTACACATGTCATGTTAGCACACGATGTGCAGAGAACGGAGCTGGACGCCGGGCTCACCTGATTCCAGACGAACCCCTGGCTCCGTTGGATGGTCAGGATAGGGCGGAGTGCGAAGACAGGCTGGCGACGTTTCCTCCGGTGCTGTCTCCTTGGGCTCTCATGCTCAGATTCAATGGCACGCTGCTTTCCCTTGACATCCTTCCTGTGGTCCGCGATCTTCTGTGCGGCGGCCTCGTCGTCGCCTTCACCGATCTCCGCGTCGCCGGTATCCGGCGGGGCACCCCTCTCGTTCTCATGTGCAGCGGGATGGTCGGCGTCAGAGAGATCGCTGCTGCGATGGAGAACCCGCCCATAGTCCTCGTCGTCTTCAGAGCAAGAGTTGTCTTCGGAACCACTGTCACTGTAGTCATCATCGTACGGGATCTGCTCGTAACAGGCCCAAGTAGGGGGCGACGGCGCTCGCCCGATCCTGCGGCGGACAAATGCAGGATACGCCGAGGATGTGACTGTAGTTGTATCGCTCATGGTTGCTCGTTGTGGTCTGTGTCGTGCTTGTGCTTGCAGATAGTGGTGGTAAGAGTCAAGGCTCAAGCGTGTCGGACGGCGCCGGCTCGACAAGAATGATGTGAAGAGTGACGGGCGCGAGGCGTGAGGCGTCGAGTCACTCTGATACCTCTTTTGGAAAAGCACGCGCAGTCAGGCTCATTCGTTCGAGATTCCCCTCAAGTCGATAACTTCATCTGAGGCCCATAGATAATATCCTTTTGACAGTAAGGGGAGGTCAATCATCGAAAATACATCAGGAGGAACGCAAGTCGAACGAGCTCCAATCGTCTGTCATGCGGCCGTTGGATAACATAGCAAATAACATAGCTACATCTTTTGTCCTCCCTTTCCACGACCATCCAACAAGTCACAGGTTCATCTACTCGAGTAAATGGGGTCTTTGCTGCCAGAATTCATCTCCAATGATATCGCAATGCAGCACGCTCAGGCGCTTTCGTGCTTCGGACTTCTTCTCCGCTCTCTGGCCTAGTGTTCTCGCAGTTTGCTCGCCCGAAGACGGCGCAGCGGCATCACCCTCGGCTTCTGAAGGTTGAGAGATGGAGCTCTCGGCAGAGATCTGAACACCAACCCATATCAAGCAGCGATAAATTTGGATCGCTTGTAGGATAGGAGGGACACATACCCGCTCTCGTATGAGGACGCTGCCTTTCCTATATCGCGTTGGAATACTGTTATAGTTCATGCCAAAGCGGGAGTGGAGCATCTCATGCTTTGTGCCGGATACAGTTCCCTGCCTGTGGTCTCAAAAGCCCAGATTTTGCATGAGAAACGGAGGACATACCCGGAGTGTTGCATGAGCTTGTGCCGTAGTCTCGCCGCCTTGTTGAACCAGAGCCCAGAAAATAGTATTGTATAGATTATTGATGTGTGCTTTTGATCGAGTGTTAGGTGGACCGGTCACGTCCAGCACTTAACCTGCTTACTATCTGCTTGTCGCCATGCAAAATAATCTCGGACTTCTTTTGCGGACGGATACACAACAAGTCGCCCATCGAAAGATGGAGGATATTTTAGCGGTGTGTCTGGGAAAAACTGTGGCCAGTGCAGGACGTAGGATGATGTGAATAGCGAGGTGATCGTAGTGAGAATCTTTGCTTGGCGACGATTGTACAGCGCAGTTGACTTGCGGAAGAGAAAACTGGGTCAGTCAGTGCTATAGCGATCGGTGAAATATGACACATGCTGACCTGAACTCGTCCGATTCCCCAAATGCCAGGCAAATGTCTTTGTATTCGTGCATTACAGCTTGAGCGGCGTTATCCATGAGTTGTAGGGCACGTTCATCATTAGGTTTAGCAAAATCATGATCTGCCGACAATCTGGCATCCTAACTGATTATGACTTCGCGAAATGATTTAAGAGATGGCGGACCTATGAAATGCATGCCCATCTATGCGCAAAAGCATAAAAGTACCTGGCAGAATCGGATCCGGAAGTTCGAATGTTTTAACATATTCGTAACGGGAACCCGCCATATCAAGTGTTGCTGGACGAGAAAATAAGGACGATTTCAAAAGCTTGGATACACAGGCCGCGCTGTGAAATCAACTAATTGGCAGCAATATCTTCGTTGAAGTTGCTCAGCGAGATGTGGATTTTCAGCGGTTGTTTTGGTTGGTTTAAGCTGTGACAGGGAATGCAATTTATGACAACATGTTTTTTCTTTGACTGAAGATACTCACTCAGATAAAACATGTCAGTGCGAACAAAGCGAAAGCAGCGGAAGCAACTTCGCGTAACGGTACGTCGGTAACGCGTCTTGGAAAAGGGGCACGTGCACCGCGCCGTTCGCTTGCCTCTCGCCGTTCGGTGCTTGCTTGCCTCTCCGACGACATCCAGCGACTTTCATTCTTTCTCATTCTCAATTCTTTGTGCCCTCCGGGCACACCTCGATGAATGCTCGCATTATCACGGCAATAACGCCTCAGCTTGGCCTCGCGACACGACTCCATACGCACCGACCCTGGACGGCCTTCGCACGTAGTTACGTCCGTCGGTGTGCGTCCCAACAAGATACTCGGACACCTGAGCTTCCTTCCACGGAGAAATCGCCGTCTGCTGCCAGCACACCCGCCAAATCCGGCGTCAGTTTCCTGCGGTTCGCATATGACTTGCACGGAATCCAACGGGATCCCAGGCCCCCTCAAGCTGACCGGAATCCAACGGGAACCTACGACCAAGAGCCCGTAGTGCGAGAAAATGCTCAGTCCGAGTCTCTTGCTGATGCGCCCGAGGATTCGGAGGGTACGGAATTCTCTTCTCCCGCTACAGGTGAGCTCGGGATGTTCCTTCCGGAAACTGACGATACTATCTCACCAGGGCCCGTGCAGGGAACACCATCGCAGAGCACTGCTTACACCTCGAAGGGCGCAGCTGGCGAAGCGGTCGTGTACGAATGGGCCAGTCTTCCGCAGCTGCCAGAGGCACCCAGCTATCCCTGCCCATACCTCCGTGACGACGAGATCCAAACCTATCTCGTGCCGCTTTATGCCCGGGGCTGGTTTGTTGGCAGCTCAGATTGGCTGCGCGCCAAAGAGTTACCCTCCGGCTCAGTTGCCCCAGAGCTCGTGAAGAAGATCTTGTTCAATGATAGTCTCGAGGCCATCGACTTTGTTCATAACATCAAGAAGGTGCAGAAAGCCGAAAAAGCAAGTCTGTCTCTATTCATTCTATCAATCGTCTAACACTTGACAGCATCATGGCCGGCTCGCCATCGCCAACAACGATATTCAATTCCGCACACATACCCATTCTGCCGTGCCGTCACTCGAGCTTCAAGACAAATTCCCGCCGCAGATCAAGCCGGGCATCACCTTGCGCGACGTCCGCCTTGCATACCGTGTCGAGCGCCTGATCCAGCCACTGTTTGACCGAGGCGTTGTACAGGGCCGACTGAAGCACCAACGTCCGGTGTCTCCACAGACGGCCGAAGAACTAGAGTTCCGCCGGACGTGCAGGAAGCAGAGGGCCGACAAGCAGTGCGCGGTGTGCCATAGCAGAATGCACTCGACCATGAAGTGCCCCGACATGCGCAACATACTGCCGAGGACGCCCTGCAAGCGCTGCGGCGAGATGCACTGGATCTGGCTGTGTCCAGAGCCGAAGATTGGGTCACGCGGGCGTGCGAGGCGCAAGCGGGAACGGCTGCGGACGCAGCAGGAGGCACGAATGCAGCGGAAGGAGGTTGCGATGCCAGGTGCGGCTCTGAGTCCCCCACAAACAGACTGAGCGCAAGACGGCGATGACGACACTTGTGGCGTCGGTTAGGCCCTGTGCAATTGGCAATGCTCTGTGATATCTCTCAAGCTACTGTCCTTCTGCCGGATGCCGAGGAATGTTGGATCGCGGTGCTCTGCTATTCCTTTGTTTGTTAATGGGGTGCGTTGAATGTGAGAAGATGTTGGACGAGATAGTCGCGATACGCATGGATGCCGTATGGTCCCTGCCTGTGGACGCAGGGAAGCATGAAGGACGTCTTCTTTGCGCAGTAGCATTTGCTATAGGCGCCTTCGATGCTGGCAACGCATCTCAGGCACGGTGAATCCTTTTGCGAGTGGGAGGAAGAGCGGTTTCACGACTGTACTTTCTACACCATAATATATCCTCTATAAGTGGTCTCCCTTCTCAACGGCTAGATAAAACCGAGTAGATTACTGCACTCGCACCGAGCGAGGCGGGTGCAGTCAGAGATAACGCCACTTGATATCATCACGGTTGTGCACCCTCGCACACCGTATGCTTCTGCCGTGAAATGTTTGCGCTCGGAGAACATACCTGCTCTCACGGCTACGGGATGTGCGCACACACCCCTGACTAGGGGGAAATTGTGGAGAGCTCCGTAAAATTACACATGAGTTACAATATAACATATTTCTATCTCGGTATCGGAAGATAGCTGGTACCTAATCAAAGTTCAGGAGGCTCAAGGAAAGACATACTCACAGTAACAAGGGAACGGCCGGCTAAAGCTTTAGGGGAGGGGACTCGCAATCAAAGAACCATTGTTCCTGCTCAAGGTCCGTCAGGCTTTGAAAAACATCGACATGGGGTTGGATGATATGCAGCCTTGCAACAGTACGGTGGCTGACGTAGCACTCTGAGATCCGAGCCACGAATGGGCTGGAGGGTCCAACATGAATGGGAAATGACGACTGAATAGCCAATGATGCCAGCAAGACAGCAACGATGAGAAATATATTTCCCCCTCGTAGTCAAGCCCCATAACCGGATCCCAAGCTACTAGATCCCGAGGGAGCAGATGAATATTGGAATTCAGGGTGACAAAAATATGACTAGAACTCGTACCTAATTACGGTCAACTGCTTCTCCAGAACTTATATGCTTTGAACGAGCCGTGTAGTTCTAAATAAGGCCCCATTGACGTGCGGGAGCCCGACGTAGGGAATCGCGGCGGCTGACGAGGTCTTCAAGATGGCCGCCAGTGCCCATGCGCGCCTAACACGGGGTGAGACGTTACTTTGTCCTGCTGTAAACCCCCGGTGTCCTTCGAATCTTTGGCCTGAATCGCTGGAATGATGTCCCACCTTCCACCCTCGCGTTGTTCTTGCCGGCAGTCGCAACTAGAGGGGCATAGTTTGTTCCCAAGCAAGAGCAAAATGGGGGAGAATTCAGACAGGGTCAGTGTCGAGTCTACGATGGCCAGGAGAATTCATGTCGCATTTGCCACGACGATGGAGTGTGATCGTCATGAAAGGGGAGTCGAGAGGATGGAGAAAGGCAGCCGTCGCGGAAACAAAGCAGCGATCGGACGGCGCGAGGATTCCGGGGAGCGCCTCCAGGAGCCCACAGCTCTCCACGTGCTGAAGGAGTAAGTTCGCTCTCGTCTGTCTTTGTTCGACAATGGGCATTCAACGCTGCATTTTCTGTTGCATTAGCATTCACGAAAGAGTGCCGGGCCGTGAAATTGAAACAGATGCGCCGCTGCCATGGCTAGTCATCTGGGACAGCCGCGCTTGGGAGATTCGGCGCTTTGGCTTGCATTGTCTTGCTCGCAGACAATCTGGCAGGGATCAAATCGCTCATCTGCATGGGAGCTGGTCTGGTGAGCGGGTGCACAGAGTGCGTCTGCAACTTGCCTTTTCGTGATTATGGCCAGTCGACTCGCTCTGATCGCCCTGACACCGACTGCATTTTGCAGGACTCGACCTGATTTACCTCCCTCAGTGTGCGAGTGTGGGCGACCGTCAAAGTCGGGGTCAAAGCCAGGACAAGCGCGAACGGCCGAAAGGCTGATCAGGGTCGTGCCGTGCCTGTGGCCGTCGTTTCGGGCATGCATTGTTTGGGAGACGACGAGCAGCAATTGGAGCCTAAATTGCCCGTCCCTGGCGTGTGGCAGATGCGAGCAGAGGGCGACGCGACACGGCTCTGCCCAAGACCATGCCCGTGAACGCTGCCCTTTCCCCTTTGCTGAGCAGAGGACCCACGTACGCCCACGATTAACTAAGACATCCCACCCTAACACCCCCTTTTTTCTTCGCTTTGAACGGCAAACTCGTCCGAGCGTTTATCCCAGCTCAAAAATCTCACGTTGAATAAAATTATTCTATTTTCCGCTGTGGGTCCGGTTGCCGTAGATGGACGCCGATGCTTCGCCAGAGCGCTTTCTTGCGTTCTCCTCCGCCCCCATCTCTACGTTGCAGGCCTCTGGCAACCCACCAGGCTTCCAAAACCGGCGACACAGCTCGGGCTCGGACTCTGGCGTGTCCAGCAACGGGAGCGTTGCCGACCACACCGCTCGCCCTCGTCCTCAGCCGGTGTTCGACGCCCAACGGACGCATAATGGGGCTCAATTCAGCTCCTACAGCCCCCCTCGTCGCACCATAAATGCTGTCGCCACAGTCATTGCCGACGACTCACCCTACGTCCCCCCAGAGCCATCTCCCCCTCATCGCAGCCAGTATCCGGCTCACTCGGGGGCCCATAGCCATTTCCAACCGTACGATTATCAAGGGCAACAGCCGCCTTCCTCGACTCAGTCACCTCCCCAGCAGGTGCGACAGTTTTTCTTTTCTTATCTGATCATGTGTGTAGAGATCTGATTGGCGCGTAGTCACATCGCAGGAGCAGCAGTGGCGGTAGTAGCCCTGCAGAGTCCATCCGTAGTGGGAGCGACCGGAGTGGCCACCCGGGTAGCTATAGCCAGAGGAGCGCGTCAAGTGGCGTGAGCGACCTCAGAAGTCAATATGTCAGTCCCCAGATGCCCGCGGAGGACACCTTCAATGTCCCAGAGCCCATCGAGCAACCTCCGTTGTTCAACCCGGAACGATATCCGGCATATGATGCCAATGCGCGCAGGATCGGCATGGAACATGTTCGCTATGGCGAGGTACCCTCTGAAGGGACAGGACAGTCTTATTACCGTTCTCGGACTCAGACTTATCCCATGGGGCCTCAAGTAATGTCCATGACCCTCGACTCGTCCAATACCCCGGAGGCGCCGGTGTATCAGCGTCAGATGCCTGCCCCCCTTCCGATTCAGGCAGCGACGCCCCAGATTGACTATCAGCGTCGTGGTTCCAACCCTCTGGACGGCCGGGGCAGCTATGTCTATCCCTCTACTCAGGCTGTCCCTGCGCCCCCTATGAGCCACTCACCCGCTCAGGCACAGCAGCTTCCTCCTGACTTGCCTGATCCGACACCCAACTTGCGCCAACTTCTTGGATTGGGTCCGGAAGATGAAGTCAGTTTATATGCCCTCGCGGACCCACCATCTGGGGAAAAACCGAATTATCCGTACCCAACTTTGATCAAACTGGCTATCCATGGAAGTCCCAAGAAGCGCCTTACGCTACAAGAGATTTACGCCGCTTTGGAGGCGCGATTCCAGTGGTTCAGAGATAATACGCACGATAAAGCTTGGCAGGTGAGTGGCGTGGGCGCCTGTGCTTGGAAGTGGCTGATGGCTGGCGTATATACAGAATTCTATCCGCCACAATCTCTCCCTGAACAAGTGCTTCCGCAGGGTCTCCAAGCCGATCACGGAGCCCGGAAAGGGCAGTTACTGGGTCGTCGACTACTCTCAAGGGGAAGGGAATAAGCGGGCACGCAAGCGTAACAAGAGGCCTACTAAAGCTGAATTAGCCCGGCGCGCTCAGGAAGCTGCCGCTGCTTCTTCCGCTGGCTCGTCTGGCCCTTCTGCTTCTCGTCAAGGGCGCCAGGATGAAAGTTCTAGCGACGAGGAGCAGTCGAATACCCCCTATTCGCAGACCAGGGAATCAAGCACCAGCCAGGTTTCAACCTCGCGTCTTGATGACACCAACATCGATCCAGAGCTAAGAAACCAGGGTCATGTTGTCGGAGAGGGACGTGTCCACGTCAACAACTTTGCTGTGCGCAACGAGGCCCACTCGCCGTACGCTATACCCGACCCGGTTTTACCCCGCCGCAGCGCAATGTCCAACTCCATGGCGTCTCTCCAGATGGCAACACATCCTCCTTTTGTTCCCAGGCAGGCCACCGCTTTCGGGCAGGGCTCTTTCGGACAGCCTGCGTTCGGACAGTCCTCATTCGTTTCTGGGTCTCCAGCAGCCCACAGCGGCGCGCCCATTGCGCCCAGCAACAGGACGCCTACATCTATCTGGGGCCCGATCATCCCTCCCGAATCTCCCATGAGTTCTACTGGAGGCTTCATGCCGCCAGCTGTCGCTTCGTTGGGCCCTTTTACGTCGTCTATGCCCTCTATGCGCTCGATGTCTGCTGCCGCTACCCCTGGAATGGATCTCCGCAATATGTCTATGCCTTCACTGGCTTCCCATGCGGGCGATATGAGGGATCCCACTGGCTGGAATGTCACTCAGCCTGTTAGTAATATGCATGGAGTGTCCCAGCAGCAGTACATCCCTTCTATGCCTCCCCGCGATGGCGGGCCATCGCAGGGAAGCAGGCGCAGCAGTGATTCATCTAGCTCGTCGTCCAGAGGATGAGCAAGACCCGCGCCTCGAGTTCTAATGGGTTCCACCATTCCGTAACGTTTGTCTTACGCTCGTCCAGATGCTTTGTGCATGGGTGCCTGTCCAACACGCTCACGCTTTCCTGTCTCTTTTGAGCCCTTTTAACAAAACCGCATGCATCTATGGATGCTTCCGTCTGCTCGTATCCGTTCTCGCTGTCGCCCACATCCTCTTTGTCGTAGCTTTCTTGCTTTCGTGTGATGAATCTTAAAAACTGTCTCAAGGACTATCTATCCCATCTGCTGTTCTCTGTATTGTTCAGATTCAGATTTGCCGAATATTTTACTTTTCCATACTGTCTGAGATGATTTTGTGTTTCCGATGAAGCCCTTCTCTTTGTGATGATGCTCATGTCATTTTCGTCCCTTTTGCTATCTACCTGCTTGCGTTTGTTTTGTTGATTGTGCCGCTTGTTCGTATCTAGTATTGTTGTCGTGCTGTGCTCTGTTGTGTAATGTTAACGTTGGCTCCATGTCGTACAAATTTTCGTGACGCTTCGACTCTTGCGATGTTATTATGCTTGATAGTTATTCCGCCGATGCATGTTTTATCTATCTGGTAATGGTCTGAGGCTGGCAAGTTCGCGCAGCGCCACATCTGATTCTACATGAATCCGCATTGACGCGGTTGCTAGCTGGTTTCAATCATTGCTTTACTTCGTATTCAGCACCATCGGACTCCTGACAAGTGCCCCCTTGCGATATCACTGTACGTCCTATTCTATTCTCTCGCACCCACTTCCAGTTCCTGGCGTCATCGGATACGCTTCTTTACTGGCTGATTCCATTCCTAACGGCAGCCCGCCCACATCAACTAGCGGTCTAGCGGTAAGTGCACCATCTATTTACCTCCCATCTATCTCGTGCTCGCGCTAATCCTCATGTCTATGTGGCCGATGTGAGCTTCCTGAAAATCGAGACCAGGAACCATTCAATTAGCGATGCAATTCAAAACGTCTATAACCCACGCCTTATGGGCCAGACAGTCAACCGTCGAAACATGCGTTGCTATCTCGGATGTCCGATGCTAGCTTCGTGCGCTGCGTCCGTTCCCGTCGGCTTGCCATCTAGTTCCGCCCGCCGCTTGCAGTCTGAACACAGATCTAATCCAGAGTCTGCTGCAGTAAGTGGTGTGGCGAGCGCACTCTCCGAGTCTGAGATTGGCCCGAATGATCGATCATGTACGTATACGTGGTGCTTACTTTTGTCGACCATTACGGCCGTGGATAATCCTAGGGATCTGGTGTCATCTCTCCGAGTAAATGGAAGGGCTGTCGAGGTGAGGCTTTATTGCAAATATGTGGTATTTTCCTGAATCTCCAGCAGACCATCAAATCACCGAATGCCTTTTGACAAAGAAGACTTGCAGCTATATGGAATCCACCACTGCCGTTATCGCATTGTGTAGATTCAAATTGTATGATGGGCCATAGTAAGCGCAAAAGTAGCCACCTTGATGGGCCTACGGAATTATAATTCCCTTCCGGGCTCTGGACACCAATGCGATCCATGTCGGGATATGAAGAAAATATGAATGCCAAGTCATCTCTTACTTACTGCAATGGGTCATTGCCGATCTGTGCGGGTGTTGTGCCGAATTGCGGGAATATCGGTATCAGACTATTGGCACACCAGTTCTCGATGCTAAGACTTAGCACAGGAAGCATAAAGGTTGCACTGATCACTTCCGATTGGCTAGTAAGTCGTTAACAATGAGCGCGTCCTGCAGGCTGCCTGCGAGTTCACATCGGGGATCGGGGATTGAGGATGAAAACGATGTCTCAAGTGTCCTATGAAACAGTTTGGAGACTCAGGGATCATGATCTACCTGATTCAATCCTGCCGAAGGATGATCAATGGATATAGATACTGCGCGACCGGCTTAGGTGGTGGGCCATTCAACGTTCACCTTGAAATATACGACATCCCAACTAATTGCAAGTAATGCTGGCACGACTACTGTATACGTTCAATATTGTAGGTATTGTTTTTCTTCCAGAATGCGTCGATGGAATGAGTGTCGATTACATACAAGGAGAGTCATACTATCCTGCTCACTTGCCTGTTTTGGCTTCACCGATCTAGTGGCCTTCAACATGGCACGCGTCTCTTCTCTGATTCATATCATCATACTCAATATTCAATATTCGATATCCAACGTCGCGCACAACTCTCGAGGCCGACATTGGTATGTCATCAGTGGATCAGCCGGTACTGTTCTCTTAAAGAGAGCTCCAAAACGGCGGTAACGCGTGCGCCAACGCGTTGACGATGCGTTCGTCGTTCTCCCGACGCGATAGAGTAAACTCGCGCAGGAGCAGCCACCGCTTTCTTCTTATCGACTTTGCGTGCTTCAGGTTATGATCCGAACTTTTCTCTAGCGTACGAAAGATTACGTAAATCACAAACGAGATGTAACGAGACATAGGAGTCTAGGTTCTTAATAATCAAGGTCCATTCGGTGTTGCTAGCGCTGTTCACAATTTCATCGTGCCGCTTATGGACCACGGGTTCTCTGTTACTCCTCATGGCCCGGGAGTGTAGCTCAGTAGATGGTATAAAGCGGTGAGTTGCACTCGTCGTATTGTTTGAGCTCCTTAATCACCATGACCGCATTCTTACCGCCCTTGCCCCTCACACAGGCTCTAAACGGCACCTTCCGCCTGCCACCCCTGGACGGTACCCTTGCTTTGCCCGAGATATACGAGTGGAATGCGAAACACAACCCGAACTATCCCTTGTATATCTACGCAAAGAATGGGGGTGGCGTTGAGACACTTTACTGGTCCGACGCCGGGAGAGCAATGAAAGTTGCAGCTGGAATAATCCGCAAGCGCATCCAAAGGTCAAAGGATTCGCAAAAGCGTCCCATAGTGGCCATACTGTCTCCATCAGGTATGTCTTTATATTATCCCGATCTCAGTATTGGTAATATTCTCTCGCACAGACTATATCCCGTACATCACTGTGGCAATGGGCATCATGCGCGCGAACTACGTGGTATTCCCCATCTCCCCCAGGAATTCACCCTCAGCCATTGCGCACCTTATCCAAGCCGTGGGGATCAGCCATTTTCTTGTTGGACAAGAACAGGCTATGACAGATTTGGCCAACGCTACCTTTGACATCTTGCGGTCCAAGTATCCGTCCACTCCGATCCCAGAATCGTCTCCGCTACCTATTTTTCAAGACTTGTATATTTCGGAATCTGAGAACTCTGGAGCAGATATGGAAGAGTTGTATGACTGGGGCGGCATTGATGGCCTGCAATATTACTTGCACTCGTCAGGTAAACTATGTCTATCCTGATTAGTCTCCATCGATTTTGAATTTGGATCTCCAGGATCTACGGCTTTCCCAAAGCCTATTGCATTCAACAGTGTTCGGGCTATGCAAATTGGCTTGTCCCCCTTCTTTGGAGATCGCGACTTGACTGGCCAAATTGTGACGGTACACTCTGTACCCGCCTTCCACGGAATGGGTTTCATACAGGCGATCTGGTCGGTACGTAGCTCACTGCTTATCACTTTGATACGACTGAGCAGTGCATAATTGTAAATAGGCGTACTTTGGGCTTGTCATAAGCGCATACGAGCCCAGGATGCCTCCTACTGTCCCAACGCCTGAATCATCGTTCGAAAGTGCAAAGGCGACCAATAGCAACATCATATTCTGCACCCCTTCTTTTGCTGAGGCATGGGTTGCTTGCTGTTTTCCCAAGAGTCGTGTCATGCTGAAGTATGGATATAGATATGGTCTCGCAGGCCTGAATATGTGAGCTGGCTTGCCACTCGAACTGGTTTAGTAAGTTCTTCTATATCCAAGTGGCATTCAATCTAGACCTGTTATTTCAGCTTTTCGGAGGCGGTCCCATGAATAAAGAAGTGGGAGATTACATCACCTCACAGGGTGTCACCATCTTCAACTTGTATGGCTCGTAAGTATTTTATTTCCCTCGTTTTGATATACTACTAATATATTTCGAAGTACTGAATGTGGGATAATGGCTACGTTCCTTCCCAGTGAGTATTTGATCAGCATTCGCGCGTTTCTTGTGCCTTTACGTTCTCAATTCCGTCATAGAGGAAACCGGATATGACTGGGAGTACTTCTCACTGAGTAAGACTCACGCGCCGCATTTCGTCCCATATGACGAGAACACATATGAACTCGTTATAGTGGTATGTTTCTCGGCTTCTGGAATCATCTGATTTGGTATTTACATGTGACGTAGAAAAGTCCTTTCTGTCTGCCCGGCATCATAAATACTAAGGTCGACGGCGTCGATGCTTACGCTACATCGGATCTTTTAATGCCTCACCCGACGAAACCCGGCTACTGGAAAGTTTTCGGTCGCTCCGACGATCAGATCATGCATAGCACAGGAGAGAAGGTCAGCAATTTAAGACTGCGGATCAGTTGGCCGTTTTTTTAAATTATTTGTCAATCCGTGACATTAGACGAATCCAGGACCCTTGGGTTGGTTATGTCTCGTGCTTGTGCGACTAATAGTTGCAGACTCACAATTGTCATAGAATCTATGCTTCATCGGGACCCTCACATTTTGGCGGCTGTTATCTTTGGGCGTGGTCGATTCCAAACTGGTGTGATTATCGAGCCTCGACCGGAATTCAAATTTGATCCTGCGGACGAAATCAAGCTCGCAGAGTTCAGGAACATGATTTGGTATGCATTCTGTGGCTGTATATTTATTCAAATCTATAATAATTGCAATTTGACGCAGGCCGACAGTAGAGCAAGTGAATGAATACGCACCTCAACACTCAAGGATATTTAAGGAGGCAAGTTCGATTAAATTCCTTTTTCACTAGATTTTTGTGACGTCTATATATAGATGCTATTAGTGGCGAAGCCGTCTAAACCATTCACTTGGACAGCTAAAAATACTCCTCGCAGGTCGGCCATCATCAATGAATATGCTGATGAAATAGATACTTTATACGATCAAGTTGAGGAAAGCACTCAATCCAATATACCGTCTCCAGCCTCGTGGGACTTGGCATCAACTATAGCTTTCGTCCGAGCGGTTATCAGCGCCGTGATGGTGCACCAGGTTAAAGACGACGACGATATTTTTCATCGTGGTTGTGATAGGTGAGTACTTGGATCATGTAATTGTGAGCGCGCTAAACCTGACGACCCTCAGCTTGCAAGCTACCTGGATCCGCAATTCCCTTTTACGTGCATTACGCGACTCTGTGAAGCTTGACACGCGCCAGATCTCTGGGAACCTTGTCTATAATCATCCCTCGATTGTCAGCCTCGCGTCATATGTGTTTGAATTAGCATCTGGATCCGCGGATGATACCACCAGCACTGTTGAGTATCGCACCAATGCCATGCGGGAGATGGTCGCAAAGTATACCAAGGAATTCCCTATCCCCGCTCATACTCTAAACGGTGTAAGCGGCTCAACCGAAGGCGACGTAGTATTGGTGACGGGAACCGCTCGCGGGCTAGGATGTCATATCTTAGTTCAGCTTGCCAGCAGTCCTGAGATTTCGAAAGTTTATGCCCTCAACCGAGCCTCACCGGACGGGACGCCAATGTCGGCCAGACAGGAGCGGGGTCTTCTCGAGCGGGGGCTTGATGCAGGCGTCCTTGACAATGGCAAAGTGGTTCTGCTTGAGGGAGACCTATCCCATCCCAATTTTGGACTTCAAGAAGCCACTTACAATGAGGTCAGCTTGAGCTCGTGTTCAATTTATCTCTTGATGTGCTCACCAAGCCACACAAGATGCACCGATCGGTCACGCACATTATACACAATGGTCGGTTGCTCTGCCATCTTCCTCATGTTTCTAAATAATAATATTTCGACAGCCTGGCCTGTCAATTTCAATATGGCGCTCTCTTCGTTCGAGCCTAGTGTATTTGGTGTCCGCCGCCTCATTGATTTCGCCTTGACATCCCACAAGCCACACCCTCCGCACCTGACATACACCAGCAGCATTGGCGTTTTTGAAAGTAGGTATATCGCTTCGTGCCAATGTGTCATCTTTTGAAGTATTTCGAACAGATTGCTCAAAGACTGGCGTACTGCCCGAGGCTCGGATTCCGCCGGAACTTGCAGTGAGCTCGGGTTATACGTGCTCAAAGTGGGTATCCGAAGAAATTTTGTGTACCGCTTCAGAGCAGACACCGCTGAAGGTGGTGGTTGTGCGGGTGGGCCAAATCTGTGGCGGTCTAGACGGCGCATGGAACCTGGCTGAATGGTTCCCTGCGATGGTCCAGAGTGCAACGACCCTGGGTGTGTTCCCAGATGACGATGGCGTACGTGCCCACGATTGATGACGGAGCGCGGTTTCTAACGATGTGCTTGCAATCTAGGTCGTGAGCTTCATACCCCCAGAGCTGACAGCTGGGGCTCTCATAGATTTCCGCAAAGCCTCTGTCGAGTCAGATATCGTGCATCTCGTGCATCCGTACCCTGTTAGCTGGCGCTCTATCGCAGATGCAATCGCATCTGAGCTCCGGGTCACTTTGGTTCCATACTCAGAATGGGTGAGCAAGTTGAAGGAAATCGCGAAGCTTGCAACAGAGAGTACGACAGATGGACGGGTGCAGGACGAAGTCGAGCTAATGCGCAAGATGCGGGCACTCCGACTACTTCCCTTCTTTGAAGGTGTCGCAGCAAAGCAACCCCAAAAAGAGGCGATGAGATTCAATGTTCTCTCTACAACCTATGCTGTTGGTGCATCCCAGACACTGAAGAATGCATCTTCGCGACAACTGGGTGCTGATGATTCCAGGAGATGGATCTCATACTGGCAGAAGGCTGGACTTTGGAACTAAGGCTCACTTAATGTATTTCATCGTCGGATTTTACATTATAGCTAACTATGTACGTATGCTTGACACTTTTTGAGACTCAACATATGAGTCACTATAATGTGAAAGGGGGAAATGAAGCAGACTTGCGAGAGACAATATATGGGCGCCAATGTCTAGACGCTGCACGTGGCTTTCATGCACCTGCCCTAAACTTCTGCGCTGAAAAGTCTCGCAGTGTCGTTTTGTAAAGTCGTTCTCGCTTCTGTCGTATACTTACGCGTCTCTTCCTCGCGTTGGCAGGGTTGTGAATTGTGAGTATTTTGTTGCATGCATGTTCTGGCTGTCGACGCGATGATATTACTTCGTTTACCTCGAGTGTTCTCTGCCATTACCAAGGCGTGGGCACGATGCTACAGATATGTCATAGTTACACTGATCGGTTCTCAAATTTTGCTGTCCTAATGACACGCTGATTGTTCTTCTCAGCTTGCAAGATCTAAGTGTATGATGGAGGCTAGTGGTGTAATTGGGTGCTGCAATCTGTGAGTGTTGTCAATGTTCTGTTGTCTTCTCAAGTCGCGACGAGATGAACCAAAATCATTCAAACTAGAGTATCTGAGAGTCTCAATGAGGCTCGGTGCTTTGTACTTATCTGTCAATCCCCTGATCACCGCAGCAACTTTTGTGTGAATCTGTGTTTTCTCCAACTCACGCTGATACTCAATTTGCCCAGTCTCATTTCACCGAGTAATACCAGCATCCATAACATAATGTTGTCGAGGATCTAGTGTCATAGGTAAGTGTCTGTTCCTTATTTATGTAGGCAGGGATGTTACAAATGGAATTACCGCCTGATCATTGTCTTCGGACATTTGAACTGATGACAATTCCAAGGCTGTTTTTTTAAAAACTCTGAGCTCCTCTCTCTTCAACCATGGCAGTAAACTCACGTCATTTCTTAGGTTGACTCTGGATTGATGCAGGGCAAGTACAAATGGTTTAGTTGTAATTTATAAATCAGTGAGTTCTTTATTTCTTTCTATTGATATGATGCTTTATCACGACGGTCTTCGTATTGAAACTGCCGAAAATGCCCGCCACAGCTCAAATAATCGGGCAACCCCTTCTGAACATTTTTTCTTCTTTTATTAAAAATGTTTCTGCAATTGGCTCATCGGACCTCTGTTTGTAGTCTACTCGTGCGACTTTTGAAACTTCGAGGTAAGCATGAATCCTAATTGTTAACTTCGGTGATAAAATGATTAGCGGAGAGTCGTTGCTGAGCTTCACGGAACCTCAAGTTGGATTCACTATTTATCTAAGCCTTATCAATTGCCGATACTTGAAACTGAGCGGGGGATTGCTTCGCTTGCTGAGTCGTGCAGCGATGTGTTAAAAGTAAGTTAATTTGTATTGCTTTGGGGTTAGCTGTTGTGTTGTCGTCTCGTTATCTACTGTTAAGTACTGTAAAGAATTGAAGGTTTTCAATATATCATTTCTTTAACTTCATGATTGTGTCATGGTGTTTGACGTGCGTTAGTGATCATCTTTGATTACAGTGTGGTCACTCAGTCGGACTACTTTGCGGGGCCGAATCTGTTCCTGGGATAGCATCGTCTCGACAGCTGTGGTTTTCATGTGCAGCTGATGGTATAGCTCACGCTACTGCATGAGTTTGAGCGCGGACATGATGGCGCTCGGCGAATGTCAAACTAGTACGGGTAAGATTGATTTCTCCTTTCATTCCTGCTGGGGTGATTTTTGCCAACTGGTCCCTAGACAGTATTATTCTACGACGAGTGTTGTAGACAGTTACCTCGAAATGACTGGCATGGTCTCGCATTGCCTATGGTCTCATCATCCGAGTCCGTTCAAAGGGACATCAATGCCGACAATTATATTGGGGGTCAACCTAGTCGCCGAGACTATTTTCAAATACCACAGTATTCGCCAAGTCGCGGCTTAGACTCCATTTCTCTGGTCTGCGCAGAAGAAATTGGCAACGTTGAGTGTCTCGAGCGGAGCCCGGGCGGTACCAGGTAGGATGCTGATGTCACTTCAAGTCCTAGTGCATCCAAAGTTGAACGCTTATCACGCCATGTAATGATGAAGGGAGCTACTTCCTTTGGAGGCCAGTACCATGACCAGCAGGCGGACAATTCAGCCCGACCCACGCTCATGGCCGTTCTGTTCTTGACTGACATTGTCTCTGTTGTACTTGCACGGGGGTTCGTGCAAGCTCCGGGAATCCCCCAGTCTATACCCACCCGTGCGCGACGCGGCTATTGCAGAGCCACTCTGTGGTAGCACCAACGGCGACGAGTTGACCGTAGGTTCAGTGCATACGCTTGGTATATTTCAGGACGTTGCGCTCAGTGTACCCCATGACTAGCCCCACGGGCTTAGCCTTCCGCGCCCTGGTCGTCTCGCTCGCAAATGTAGCCGCCATCCGCCACTCCGGATCTCTCAATTTGGTCCACAGCCGCTGCACCGAGGCAATGTCATCCGCTCTCCAATCCAAGGGCATGTAAACGCCGATGGACTGCTAGACACACATAAAAGGAGGCCCAAGCCTGCGTTAAACTCCATCCCTCAAGCTTAGCCATCTCGAGGATCTAGCATTCGTATTCTCTTCCGCTCTCAAACTCTCCACGCAATGAAGTTCATCGGTGCTCTCGCTGTCTTCGCCGCTGTCCCCGTAGTCATGGCGGACTGGTACAAGATCACGTACGATACCTTCTACGACACTGGTACCAACTCTGTGAACAACTTTGCGTGCTCGGGCACTCTCGACAACGAAGGTGAGACTTACTTTGGTCGCTCATTTTGATTATGACTGACGATCGACCAGGTTATACTACTGCCAGCTCTCTCCCGGGTTTCCCTTTCATCGGAGGAGCGGGTGTCATCACCGGTTAGTGGCTTGTTTATGGATATTCTTGGTCGTTATACTTATCCTAAATCGCAGGCTACGACGCTCCTGATTGCGGAACTTGCTGGCAATTAAACTACAACGACAACTCGATATACCTTCTTGCAATCGACTATGCCGGCGAAGGCATCTTCAACATTGGGAAGACGGCATTTAACACCCTTACTAACAACAACACCAACGGTGTTGTTGAAGCGACTGCTTGGCAGGTTGACACCTCTAAGTGCAGCGGTTCTAAGTGAAGTCGTGAGTATATGAATTGTCGGGTATATTCACAAACTGACTGATCACTTGAGTAGTGGGGCTGTCATCCGATTCGCGATCGGCATAGGAATAATCAGTAGGCTAACGGACTATCGGAATAACGGACAATGTAACTTTGACTATCACAATGCTTGCATTCAGTGTGGATAATGGAATGATGTGTTGACTGCTTCTATTTGCGTGCCTTCGTCGACACAATAATATAGCAGTATCATTGTTACCCTTTCTCCGGGTTTTTACTTCCAAAGGCGACATAACCAGTGCGCTGGTACCTTATGACTTTAAACCCGCGTCAATCTCCTCATGAAGAGTAAAGTGACATTTCATGACATCGGGAACTGAGTTCTAGCCGTCTGAACTATGAAAATTTGCGCACTTGCCTTCCTAATTTACGACTTTTACCTGGCGAAGCGATCTTCTGCCATCACTCCATGAGTTGCTAACATAAGATTGCAAGTAATATAATCCTGCTCATCCTGCCTATAAGATTCGTCAACGCTCCATATCTCCTACTTCCCCGCTCTCCACGAAATTACTTATGAAGTACGCTCGTCCTCTCACCACCGCTTCCATCTTTGCATTCTCTGTAATCGCGCAGGAGATATACCAGGTTACATATGACCCGGTATATGACAACGCATCTGCACCCGTGAGCGAACTGGCATGCTCTGGCATCCTGGAGTCTCAAGGTACATAACTGTGTCTTGCCCGTCATGAATAATGGCGCGCATACAACGGGTCGCGCTTGCGCAGGATACACGGACTTCGGATCGCTCCCGGCCTTTCCTCGCATTGGTGGCCCCGTCTTCATCTCAGGTGAAGACATGAAATCATGCTGCAGAGATGTATGACTCACCCGAATTGCCGCTTCTCAGGTTACAATACTGGGCTATGTGGGAGCTGTTGGAAATTGACTTACGGGGAGAACATCATCTACTTGTTCGCCGTCGACTACACCGCGAAAGGCTTCAATATCGCGCAGACCGCTTTTGAGGAACTCACCGGGCAGTCTACAGGAATCGTAAATGCGGTCGTACTGGAGAAAGATGGAGAGTTCTGCGGATACTATGGTGCTGAATAAACACAATGCGTCGTGCGCAGGATGCCGGTAGGAATAACAATACGTTATGGCTAGCGCAAATTGAAAGTCGGTATGGACATGATCTAACTCGCACCTTCGTGAGCGGTGAATTTCATTACAGCTGATGTGGATGACGAAGGGAGCGTGATTCTTCAATGAAACATGCAGGCTTACAGGGAAATCAGAAAATTTGGTTGGATCTCGACAGGAAGTGCTCGAATGCGAACCTGAGCAATACAGATGATATTTCAACCCGGTGGTCAATTTTGTAAGAAGCATGGGAGTACATACGAAATCGGCTGAATTCCCGCTGTTGTGGAGGGACGAATCATCGCCGAGCCACCTGAAAAGTTTGCCTGAGAAACGTTGAGAATGGTGAATAGTCTAGCAACCTGTGCTTCAGACTATGATGAAGTTCAGCCAACATGTCCCTTGCTTTCAGACACACAGTCTAACGTCTGTAATATTTTCATTCTATTGTAACTGGCGCAATACAGGATCACGACAAGATACCAAAATTGAGACGGACATTCGAAGATTCAGTTGGATGGACGAAGCTAGAGTGCATACTCGAAGCGTAGATGGAAGTCAGGATAGAAAGCCAGCACTTGAGGGGAGAGCCAAGCACACCATGCGGATCTCGACGTCGCTATATGCTGAGACGAGTTTATAGATGGATACAATGCGCACCTGGGTATATGCGCCCTTTCACGACGTAATCGCGCACCAATAAGCGTATGCATACATGCAAAGGCCAGCAATGAATCAGGTCATCGGTAAGACGCAGAGCACTTCGCGCGCAAAGAAGAGCTGGTAGAAGGAAGATCAGTCGAAGAGTGGAGTAAGCTGCATTTGCGACGTACGCGGTCTGACATCGCCCCAGGCGCCCGCTGCGGTAGGACCATTCACCATTGACCAGCAGATGAATTTGGCTGACAAAGGAAAGCAACGACGAGATCTGACGGCGCGTGCATCTTTCCAGTGCGTACCTAGAATGACTAGAGGGCGAGAACGTAGGGTAAGGGATGCCAGATAACACGCTCACCAGGTCCATATATCCGCAGACTGCTGCGCGAGCATGGGCACACATCTCTGCTTTACAGCTCCTTCCAACGGCCTAACGTTACATAGAAGGTTGTACGCCCATCGACGTTGCTGACCGTCGTCGGTGTTGCAACTTGCGTCGATGCTTTGAAGTCGGCCAGCACGTGCCGTTTCCTGAGCTTACGCAAGCATCACATACTATGTCCAAGACACATCTAGTACTATAACATAAAGGACACCATCTTAATAACCCTCGATAGCTCAGTTGGAAGAGCGCAAGACTGTAATGGTTAAATAGTTACGTAATCTTGATGTCGCTGGTTCGATCCCGGCTCGAGGGAGACACATTCTTTTTCAACTTTCCACCCGGATGTTCTAATTCTAATAAAGAAAATGTCGTGTGTCGCCAAGTGTCCTGTCCCAAATGGGCCAAATCCAGCCCATGATAGGTAAGTGGTCGGGACGCTTCACGTGATACATTGCCTGACGTCGCTGACGTGACTATCGGGATTCGGCTTGGTCTCAGTCGAGCGCGGCTGGCCGTGCCCGCGGTTGGTACTGAAGCGGCGGCTGATAGGGCGTCGGGATCGTAGACAATATGCGGTCTGATGGTCCGCCCTGGTCCACTGGCCGGTCATGTCTGTAACCGGCTATAGCCTCCGATCGCGAATGATCATGAGATGCTGAAGTCCCCACCTCCTGCCGCAGTTAGTGGCCTGACAAGTGCAACTATAAGGTGGACGAGGCGGGCTTTCCAGTAGCTCAATTTCCCACACACGGTTATTCTGAAAGTGATACTCATATGTGCAGTTCCTTCTACGTATATGGCGAGTCTTTCAGGGATAATGACCTCTGATGTATGAGCATTGTGAGGGTACCTGGCAGCACCAGGGAGACAAAGAAGCCATCAATGTCCCACTCGAATAGATGGCCCATCAAAGGAGAGACTAGGCAAACATAAAAAAATGCGTAGAGCGCACTTCGAGCTTGAAGAGACCGCCATGCCGGAGCGGCTTGCAGGAGTGTGATTGTGTTGACTCCGTGCGCTCCTCGGGCCCATTTACCGCACATAGAAGGGCAATAGAGGAGAAAGGTTGGAGTAAGCCAGTCAACTTCTCTCCTAATCTTTTCCGAGAGCAGATCATGTTCAGGTGTCATTTCAATAGTATTACTAGCTATCACACGTACCATTGCGAGCGACATGATCCTGAACGACGATCACTTTCACCTGTGCTCTCACAGAGAGGCTCGAGCAAGAGCTGTAGAGCATATACTCGAAGCGTACTGAAGACTGCTATAGTCGGTCCTCCGCAGCGGAACGAGTGTACCAAATACTGACGTGTGCTGAGTACACATCAGTACAGGCTGTACTGGTGTTGAGCAAGCAATGCAATAACCGTGGTTACCGGACACAACTGCGGGTGTGGTTTTCTTGCAAAAGGATACTATACTTCCAACCTTGCTGAACACATCACCATAGCGCAATCTGTCCGCATTGTGCAAGAACACAGTGACCTCTTTTTCTCTTTGCTCCGAAATGGTAAGGCACGGGGCGCGCCTGTCGGAAGTGGTGCTGCAAACCCGCTTGGCTCCTAAATGATCCGGCACATACGCAGCACCATGATTTAGAATTTGGCATAGGTACGCGCCCATTATGCTGTCCTCGTAGATAGGAGAATGGCGGTTAGTGTGAGAGATGTCTTGACCCACGGGCACACGAATCAGGTATGCATATAGTCATGTTGCTGTGCATATATGCGGGGTTGTGGACAGCCCGTGCACTTGCACCGCTTCTGTGTAGGCGTACCTGCCAGTGCACTGAGCGCAGACGGTATACTATGTAGCCGCTCAAGACTTGAGACTCGGAAACGTTCGCAAGCAGAGCGCTTGAGGGGTCGGCGGGCCGTTGGGTCTGATCTCAGATACATCTGAGTGTAAACGTTTCGCCGCAGCAGTCCAGATGCGGCTCACCTCGTCGTCATGACCTTTTCCGGAGCGAGCGAGCATGAACGGCAGACTCGGCGGCGCATCTCATGCTCTCGCCTGCGTACAACATGACGAGTGAGGTAGAGACGATCGTCAACATTTTCGTCAGTGGTGCTGAAAATATTCCGCGAGAGAGCGGTGCGGCGTGATCAGACTGGTGTGAAAGCGACCAGTTAGGTAGACGAATGGTGTGGTGGCAAGTCGGTTTTCATTGGAGTAGCTACAGCCTACAGCGGATGCGGTGGCAGAAAGAGGGTTACGGCTCTGATGGAGGTGAAACAGGCGGCGCATCGTACGAGGCGTTCTGTCGATACGACACCGTTACCGAATTATGATTTAGCACTCGTGGGAATCTGGCGCGGAAGTACCCCAATACCCCACGCGAACGCCCAGTTTAAGTATCCCCCCCTCTCGCCGAATCCTCATCCTCCCACCTCCCTGTCTTCTACCCCCCCAATCGCCGCATACAAACCTCCCAGCCTCCTCTCGCTTTCTAACGACCCACACAATGTCTGCCCTACGCGCATTTTCAAAGCATGCCCGCTCGCTCTCGCGCACGTCCCTATCTTCGCGTCCGAGCAGTATATCCTCCATCCGCGCGTTCCACTCGCCCTTCAAGTCCCTCTCAGACTCCCCGCTCACCTCTCCCCCCCACCCGTCTTCAACCGTCTCTACGCTGTACGAGAAGCAGCTGGACCACTCTCCCGATCCCCAGCTCTCTTCTGCCGGCACGCACACCTACGTGGTCTCTGAGCCCGACCCTGCCCACACCCCCTACGAAGTTCCCTATGGCGCGTACCCCACCTCCGCGCCGTACCAGAACTTCCCCGCCGCCGACGGTGCAGATGGTGAGGCCCCCCGCACTAGCAGTTCGACTGCCTCAACGAGTCACACCCTTGCTCACCCCCTCACCTCCGCACTCCCGCAGAATCCTTCGGGCGTTATGGAGAGCTCAGCTATTAGACACGGCACCGCGCCTGGGGAGATGCACCAGCGCGGTGGGAGCCACGGTGGTCTGGGTATGATGGATATGATGGGCACGAAGAGCAAAGGCACCCTCGTTGACCGCAATCCGCCTCCCGACTCCCCCGGAGTTGCAGAGAAGTTCTCAAAGCAGGGCGTTGACAACGCTTGGAAGGAGAGGAAATGAAATTCACCTGGGTTTTACTTGCCATGAGCTACTGTCGGTTTGATTGTTATTCGTAATTGTTAGAGTGCGTGTCGTATGTATGAGTATAGTTGAGGCCATTGTCCTGGACGCAGTAGTTATCTTCCCTTGTCTGTACATTGTTCGCAACCATTCGTTGTCGTTTGTTCCCAGGAAACACTGCGGTGTCGAGCGGGTGTCCGTGTCCCACCATCTTTTGTTGCCGGACAGTTCAATCTCGGCCAACATTCAGTACGGCACTCACTCGGGCAACACTCGGTCGTTCGCGACCAAACGAGACGCGTCGATCGCGAATGTATTGGGCGCCTGACCCATCACGCGTTAGGGACGCATATATAATAGAATAAACCGCCGTAGTTGCGGATCGATAGGATACTGTAGTGCGAGAGGAATACAGGTTAACCAACCGCGTAATAAGCAGTCTAGACATAGAATACGAAACGACAAGAACTGGAAAGCCAAACGAGGGAGTGAGCGTCAGTGATTGAACGAATTGGCGACGGCGCTCGCGCCGTGCGCCACCGCCAGACAGTCTGCGGCAGAAGCGGACTAGTGTACAAGGTAACGCAGAGAAGGAACGGGAGGATATATGAACAAGGCAAGACAAGACAAGACAAAGTAGAACGTGAGCGAGACGGATGTCCTTCTAGCAGGGACCAAAGCGATGAGTGTATTGAGAGCGGTGCGAATGCGAGTCCGGCCGAACGAATGATTGGTGCCCTGCACTTAGATATCGCGGACGCAATTTGGTTTTGATGCTGGGTGGATCGAGTCATCATGTGGAGTCGTAACAGACGATGAGAGGGGTCTGGATATAGGTGGTTGGATATGTGTCTATGCAGGATACCATTGGTCGTCAGGTATTCGTCATCAGAAAGTTGTTAAACCTATAAGAGGGACATGGTTCAAGAAACAGGAAAATCCAAGCTAGAAACAACATACGGAATCATCAGCGCATCTGCATGCGCCTATCCTCTACAACAAAACGCAGCCCAGAATCCTTTCTTGCGGCCATGTCCATGCTCATCTTGCTCTCCGACGCGCGTCATCTGTTCCCGATCATATACGCTCATACCACGGGTACCAGCAGCGTTCACCGTGTCGCGATTCACAGCCGTACCGCCGGTCGTGGTGCCGTCCCGCGAGTTTGTACCCTGTTTGCCCGTGGGCTGGCCATAAACGATAGAATCGGACGTGTTCGCGCCGATCCCATTCGGCTGCTGCGGAGGAACCCCGTTTGGTGACGCACGATCATAAGCTGTGCCCCGAGGCCCGCCCGGGCTCGGCGCACTCGCGTATGGGTGCGGTGCAACCAGCCCTGCACTGTCACGTTCCCCACGAGGAATTTGTTGGTGACTGGCACGACGGCTCGTGGGCGCAATCGGCTGCACGCTGATTTGTTCGCGCGAGTTGCCTCTTGAATCTTGTTGGGCACGGCGGCTTGAATGTCTAACATGTGCAGGTGTCGGCACGAGAACCTGTTGTGACGAGGGTGACTGAGCATCAGGCAATGGTTGCCGAGAGCGACGGTGGCGTTCGTCATGACGCGAGCGGTGCTCGCGGTGAGGCGTATGTGGTGCCGCGGCATTGGCGTGAGCTTGAGCAAGAAGTGTAGACGGTGTCTAACATCAACATCAATACCTACGAGCGACAGCAGCAAACTGTGAGAACGTACGTGTCCCGCTTCCCAACCCTTGCCGCCGTTCAAAAGCATCCAGTCGAACACACCATCTTCAGGCTCACCGAGAGTCTTCAAAACCTTACTGAATAGCTCGCGCAAGAAATCATAGTCAGGCGTCTCTTCAAAACCCAACTTGCGCACATAATTCATGTATATTGCAAACTCCTCTGTTCCAAAACCAACTCGTATCAATTACACAAAATGCAGAGGGTGATCGACATGGTCGAACACAGAGCGCTTAGGGCTTACCTGGGAAGCCTTCGCACAGCTCGTCGATCGGTGTAGTTTGCTTCTTCTCACCAATTTTCTCGTACTTCTGCTTGTTCGTCGCCGCACGCAGGCCTTGCCATGGAAGACCGCCTCGCAAAAAGTACATGAAAACATGACCAAGCGACTCCAAATCGTCTCGTCGCGATTGCTCTCGGCCGAGATGCGTGTTAATCGACATATAACGTGCCGTTCCCGAAAGGGATTTCCGTTCTCTGTATGGTATATGTACTTTGGTCCTCGGATCTCGATAGTGTTTTGCCATTCCAAAATCTAACCCGCAACGGCGTCAGTACACCATTTGTTTCACGTTCAAAGTATGTGCGGGCCGCTGCGCATAACTACTGTGGAGCTGCGATCGCGGATCGCGTCCCGCCTGTCAAGCGGCATAGCCCCCAATTGACCAAGCTGCGCATAATGGCACAAACTGCGAGATCCAGGCATATAACAGGGAAGCACGTACCAATGATATGAATGGTATTGGCTGTCTTCGATCCAGGAACCCCAATGAGGAAATTATCAGGTTTAATATCGCGGTAAATGAGGGACTTCTCGTGGATTGCCTGTACACGAGTGACCTGCAGAATATCGTTATTCACGTCAACATACCAATCATGGTGAAACAGATATGATGCTCTAGCGCGGAGAGCTACCAAGAAGGGAAATGGCTGTGTTTGACAATGACACTAGCTCTGACAGCGAAGTAGATGCAGCAGCTACCTCGCAGTCTCATTGCCTGTGCCCACAGTGCAGTGTGTCCCTACCGGTGATTACGTCTACTCGGATCCGAAAGGGCCGCAGAAGGCAGACCAAACGCGGAAGGCAGGTACATACCCGCGAGGGGTCGGTGTGAGAACCAGGCGTAGTTAACGGTCGCAAAAGAGCGCAATGCAGATCGGGGGCTGAATGCCCTCTGCCTCGATGTCGAGTCGACGAAAACGCATTGAAGGCAGAATGAGATACATGCGCATACATACCATCTGTTTGGCAGCCATACACACAGTCTTGATGGTGAACTTACGACCGCACATGTCAAAGAGGTCCTCGAGGTTCGGTCCCAGGAGGTCAATGACAAGGACGTTGTGCAATCCTTCTTGACCAAAGTAATGGACTTGAGGAACTCCAGCTAACAGCTCGGTAAGAACACGTCTTAATACTAGCATGCGAGGAAAATACGCACGAGTGCCGTGCAAGGTGCGGTAAGACCTGTACTCATCTCGTAGTTGAGGCGCTTCTGCTTTACGTGGTTCCTAAGGGAATTAGAGAGGACGATGAGCGGCCCACGTCGCAGAGCGGTTGACGGATTATACTCACAAACTTGATGGCAACAGGCAGATTGCTGAGTACATTCGTTCCTGCAATACATCCGCAATAGCTAAGAGGGACGAATCTTGAGGCGGAGCAGATGTTCATACCTTCGAAGACGACACCGAAAGACCCCTCTCCAATCTTCTTACCGACTCGATAGTGGGTGCCGACAATCCCGTTAGACGTCGCAGATTGAGAGCCGTGATGAGCTGACGACGATGCGATTACATGAGGAGTGGTCATCGTGCTGAACAAAAGATGAAGAGAGGGAAAGAGAGAGTCGTTGAGGGAGAGAGAGAATAGACGCCCAACATGGTGCCTGATGGGGCGGAGTCGGAAGGACCACCTGCCATCTTTGGGAACAGGGTTCTGCCTTAGTTTGGATGAAGCTCGAGAATCTGGACCACCGACGGTCTGGGATAGGGCCTGTGTATTTATCTCACACACCCAACTGACTCCATGTAAAGGTTCCTGAGGTCTGAGTGCTAGCAGCCGCACGGTCGCGTTCCACATTCAACCACCTCCTTACTACAGTTCAACTACAGTCCAACTACAGTCATCCGAAATTCCAATATGTCGCCATAACCACTTGGCTAAAATAGTCTTGACCAATCCCTTCACTTTGCACCACAAGACGTAAGTGCTGAAGGTCATCGAACTGCTAGTGGCAACAAGATGAGTTAAGCTTACGAACTTCGAGTGGCCGTATGCGCCAGCACCTTCAATACCCCTACAAGCAGTATTTCAACAGCCATTGAATTCACGAGAACTACACTGAATGACTTATACCCTACGATATCAGATCGGTGCAATATTTTTGTAACTGGAGTCTCAAGCTCAAGGAATGAGATGCTGGAGTACGAGCTGAACAAAGCTTGCCACCCATTTCATTTCTATGATTTCACTGGGAACGCTGAGGAATCGACGGCAGCCGGACTGTCACAATGAGGAAGACCTAGACACAGCGCGAAAGCCACCGAATCGAAGTTCCATCTTGGCAGGCATGCGCAGCACTCGTAAAGCGAGTGTTGCTTCGCGTCCGTGTGATGGGGTCACGAAACATGAGTTCTCGCAGTGGCGAACAACGGAGCGGCTCGAACCAAGCTGTCGGCGAGTCGTGTGCAGCATTTGCGATCGATGCTTGGAGCATACCTTAGAGACGTTGATCTGCAAGGTACTGTAGTTCAAGACCAAAACTAACGTCTTTTCTCTCGCGCCACTACACCATTAGTGGCCAGCGTATCCACCAAGTAACACAGGATAGCGCCGAATGTCGCACTGCAGTGAAGAAACGCACACGAACTGCCAAATATCCGGCGGCTCCCAAGTAAGCACCTCCAGATAACGAGTAGCTCCCGATAGATCGGAGGGGCAAGACCCACCAGGTCGATTAGTCGTCCTCCTTGTGACCTCGAGAACCACAGACGTGAGACGGTACAAAGCGACACGGCATCATTTGCGAACACCATCCGTGGTGGCGCCGCACCAATTCGCTCTGCGCGAGTGACGGCGCCAATATGAGGATATGAGTCTTCGCGGGAACTTGGATGGCGAAAGACCATGCACAGTCGGCTGACCGAGCAACTCTCTCAAGCGATGTCAACGTCCTCGGCGGCGGATGTAACTCAGGCTTCGTTAGTACATTGAGCTATTGCGGCGGCGCGGTGAAAAACAGCTAGGTGGAGCCGCCGATACTAGCAGTGAGGTAGGAAATAGCTGCGACAATTATGCGGGAGGGGAGGAGTCCGGGATGAGACCGGAAAGAGCCATTGGGCGGGAGATCTTCCACGTGACCGGCTCACTGAGCGCCGGTAGTGAGGTGCTCACCAATTCGTGACCAATCTCAGGAGCAGCTTTGTAACGACTCTCTTATACCCTACACGCACCTGGGTTCCTGTATCATAGCTAGTACGACGCTCCTTTCTGTCCTGCACGCTGTTCCCCAGTGATAATTTACTCTTTTGTTTCCGTCCTGCTTCCCCGACATTGTTTGCGTTCTCGCCACTACCCTAGAAAAGCACTCTTCCGTTACGCGCAGATCAGCATATTCTGTTTAACATCGCCGCAGGCGCATAATGTCGCGGTCAGTATCACTTGTCGTCATCGGGGATATTGTGAGTGTGCCGTTTTAATCCATCTTCTGACGTGACCCATACCACTCCCCTCACCCGCAGATATGTCCCTGGTGCTACATCGGTGAAAAGGAGATGGAACGTGCAATTGAAGCCGTCAGCGATCTTCCTCTCACGATCAAGGTAGAGCACCGGCCATACCAGCTTCAGCCGTCACTGCCGGATGACGAGGCATTAGTGAAGCGTGACTGGTACTTGAATCGGTTTGGGAAGGATAAGTTTGCCATGTTCGAGCAGATGGTCACCACCCGAGGCGCACAGCTAGGGCTCAACATGTGAGCGTTTATCATGTGTTGCGGGCGCGTGCTGACAATCTCGATCTGCATCTGCAGAAACTATGGTGGGACAATCACACAGACGACCCGGGCGCATCGTCTCAGTCTCAAAGCGCTGAAGCTCGGGGGTCAGGAGATGCAAGAGTCATACCTGAATGCGATCCACAAAGCTTACTTTGAGCAAGGAAAGAACATCGGGGACAACGATACGCTTGCAGAGTTGGCACAAGAAAGTAGTGTGATGACTAGAGAAGAAGTAGCCTTTCTCTTCTCTTGGCTTGTCAAGTTCCGCGACGCTAAGATGACTTCTTTTCTCCGTAGGCACTGCAGTTTCTTCAGTCAGACGAGTGTCGAGAAGAAGTTATCAACATGATGGCGGAGGCACGGAAGAAGGGTGTGACTGGGGTTCCGTTCACGATCATTGATGGCCGGTGGGCAGTCATTGGTGGACAAACTGCGGACGTGTACATCCAGGTGCGCAGGGTCAATTGCGGTCGGAGTGATTGGAACCTGACAGGTCTGGTTCCGTCAGATTTTCAAGAAGTTGGCACAGACTGAGAAAGTGACACCTTTGTCTAAAATTCCCGATGGTCCAATGTGCTCAGTCTAGTACCCCGCAGGAATTCGTATGAATGCGAATGATTTCCATCGCTGGGAGCCAGGGGAGGACGCTGTTCGGTGCAGGGAGCCAGGGAGTTGCTTATTTACTTGTTGTAGTACCATTTCTGACTGTTTTAGTGTATTATCGTAAGTATACCACGAAGAGTTTAAAGGATTCGCGAGGAGACCGCTTCTTATGTCTCGTGGCTGTCCAGTGTTTAAGTCCAGACTATTAATCTTGGAGAGTCTAGGTGGCCGAGCCAGAGACACGATGCTAGCTCCACTCTTTCCAGTATGTAGTACGTGGTTGTATTTAGCAGTGCCTAGGAACTGGGAGCTGATACATGCTGCAGAGGTGTAGGAGACGACGCGAGACTGACGTCAGGACCTGAGGCCTGAGAGCCAACGGAGCCCATTGTGATCGAGGCGGATCCCTACTCCGCCATGTAAAGCCTCCGTTCGCCACGATTGGCGGCACCACTTGGCTTATTGCTCTCGCGTCTCGCCGCTCATTCCTTCCCTACTCTATACTGCGTCTTCTGCCGCTGCTCGCTCTCTTGGTTTTCGTGAATCTCCTCTCATTTCGTGATCATGGTTCGAGGGCTCGGGCAACAACACTACTACTGGTTCTACGCCTGGATTCCTGTATTTGGAGCGTTCATATGGGCTGGTAAGTGTGATTGCTGGGAGATCTTCAAAGCGCAAGTAATTGAATTTGAATGGTCCCTGCATCAGGTACACTTCTCTCAATGCTCATAACATGGCTCGCCACCGGTCGGCCAAAATATGTCACTCAGCAAGGCAGCATTGCGTACATTTCAGATATCGGGGCCAGTTACCTGAAGCCGCTCTTCATCGTGTGCTGCTGCATCACCGGAGTGTCATTTTTCCTGACCCTGGTGATCGAGCGATGGTTGAGGCATTCGGGCAGGTGCGTACTGTCTGTCACTGGATATGGTGGTGTTCACGTCCTCCTTGCAGGCTGGTTCCAAACATGCGCCGTCGTGAACGCGTGTTTGCTTCGCTTTCTGTGCTTGGAGCATTCATCGGCGGTGCTGGTCTCATTTTGCTGTCCATATTTGACACTGGGCGATATCCGAGCCTCCACCGCGTGTTTCTGCTCGTATTCATCATTGGTGTTGGACTAGCTGCCATCTTCACGATCATCGAGGTGAGCGTCTGGCATTTCTGATTATTATGCAAGTTTGTACTTATGAGGGATGACCCATGTAGTATCGATGGATCAGCCATGATTTCGTAGAGATCCGCAAACTAAAGATAGCCTATATAGCCAAGGGAATTATTGCTGGAATTCTTATCATCTGTGCCATAATATTCGCCATCACACTCTACACCGCGCCCAATGTCGGAGGTGCGTTCTTCCTTTGCGATGCTGTGAACTGTGTATCCGTACGACATATTGATTATATGGCTTGCAGCGGTGTTCGAATGGGTCATAGCGTTCGGATACACGTTCTTCCTCCTCACGTTCTTCTACGATCTGCGAATGTCGCGCGGCGTGCAAAAAGGTGAACTCTCAGAGCAGCGTTTGCTTGCCATGCGCCAAAGTGGTGAGAATGGCGCTGTGATGAGGGAGGTAGGCGGCGACACCAGGAGAACACGAAGATTTGGTGCCGTATGAACAGGACCTTGAGATAAGAATTTATGACTCGTACGATGATGGCGATATCCGTAATTTTCTTGATGGTCCGACATGGCCACTGGCATGGACATTCGTATTCACCTGGTACTCACATCGACGAACTTAAAGTACTGCGCGTGTTGTATTTGTAGACGTACGGAATACTAGTAGTGTCATGAAAAACTTACTTTCATTGCCTCACCTAACAGGTTTCGATGGGGCTAGTTAAATGGGCCTTCAGTTGGGTCGTCGCGGGCTACTCTAACTCTGGCTCTTACTATTAGACTTCTGGGGGGAAATAACGATCACGTGGGGCGTGTACCTTTACAGCGACGCTGCCACTTTTACTCTTCCCCTCGCTCCGCAACCATGTCCACGCCGTCAAGTCCGCCACTTTCCCCAACCCGATCTCGTACACCGCTCCCCCGTCAAAGCACGTCGACGCCCCTCCGCCCGACGTCTCCGACTTCCATACACTCAAGTTCCACTCCGACAGGTGCATTCTCTCCACGGCGGTCATCCAACCCCAGTCCGCTCGTACACAACGGCCCATTACCGTCGACGCCACCCCCGGGAGATCGCCCAAAGACCCGTGCACGCGACCTGCTCAGGAAACACTATGGCTTGGGCGTAGGTCCGCCTCCGCCGTTGCCGGGGAAAGCGGATCCCATGGACTTAGGTGAGGGCGCTGAGCGGAGAGAAAGGAATTACGATACATGTTCTGACAAAAATCGGCGGTCGTCCGATGCAGATTCCACTGCCTTCGATGCGAAGTCGTATTACGAGCAACTTATTACGACTTCGTCTCTGCCGACTCTGATCAGGCGGGAGAACGAATTACTGACTGGTGAATACATATTGACAATAACGACAACGTGCCGTGATCATTGACTGTGAATGGGCTGCCAGAGATTAGACAGCTGGATAGCGAGCGCCAGTCACTCGTGTACAACCACCATCACGAGCTCATTGCCGCTAGTGACACTATCGCCGCCGTACGTCTCTTCCAAACTTTCGTTTCTTGCACGCATATGTACCGACGATCCCCTCCTAAATTATCAGATGAAATCACGAGCAGAAAATCTCGACGCAGATCTGGACCTCCTGAGGGCTGCATTCTCTGAGATTTCACGTTTGTCCGCAGAAATCACTGGAGAACACTCGTAACGCCTTTTTGTGCGAACATATTCCGCATTCCGACCGTCCCAGTACATCGCGTTTTCCGTGCGACCAAGAACGCGCGGTCACCCCTGTGCCTCTTACCATACACAAGCAACCTGAGAGCAATATGAATGAGACGCTGTCGACACCTCGATCTCTATTATGCACCGTGGAATTGGGGTGGTACTGCGACGTTCCTGCTTCTTGGAATTTGACTCGATCTGGTTTTATATCATGTACACGTACAACACCATTAATATTGGAGCTACACTAGGCACAAGAATCTAGGTATCACAAGCCGATTACACCACACAAAGCCGTGACAAAGCGTAGACTCAAGAACTACCAGTATGGGCTGGGCTTTGAGGGGTGGATGACCACCGATCTAATGTCCGTGAAATCCTCGACGCTGAATCGTCCATAGCCAGTCGCACCACTAGATGGATGACACGTGAATATGGAATAAGTGGTAAGTGGCCTTCATACGCACCTTAGACCAGTTAGATCCACGGCGTCTTCCAGATGAATCGTAGGCCCATTGATGCAGACACAACCTAACAACAGAATGGGTTATCATTGACATGAGGTCCAAACAGGCTTGTGGATGCTTGCCTGCTCTAACTCGCATGCTAACATCGATTGCATCGTTCAGGCTGTTCGTCCAGACACTTCCCGCGAGCGAGTATTGTGAATGGTTTGCGAGTTCTACCGCCTCGTCAATCGAGTCGGCCTCGATGAGAACGACCACTAGGATAATTACACGTCATGAGCGACGGCGAATCTCATCTAGGGTACGCGGTTCTCACCTGGGCCGAAAGTCTCTCTCTCCCAAAGTCTCGTACCTGGCTTGACGCCAGTCACGATGTGCGGCTGCACAACCGAACCGTCGCGCGTCCCATCGCCAAGCAAGAATTCTGCACCGGTAGACTGTGCTTCGTGTAACATTGACACGATGTTCTGCGCTGAGGCTTCCGAAAACTGTGCAGACAGTGCCTCGCCAGGTCCTCCAGCCTTGAGTTTGGAGAACTCAGCGATTAGTGCCTCAGTGAGCTCCGCGGCGACTTCGCGCTGGACGATGACGCGCTCGGTGGACATGCAGATTTGGCCCGAGTAGAGGAGCGCGCCGTATGTGATGGCTTTGGCTGCGCGTGCGATGTCCCCATCGGCGAGGACCTGCGACCAGCGAGAGGGAGCGGTGAGTAGGCTGGAGCAAGTGAGAAGAGAGCACGTACAATCGCGGGGGACTTGCCGCCAAGCTCGATAACGCAAGGCTTCAGATACTTTGCAGCTTCTCCCGCGATAATCTTGCCGACAGTGTCACTGCCAGTAAACTAGACACTCGTGGGTTATTGTACTCGTCGTCTGTACTGTAGGGCCACACTTACGGTAATCTTTCGTACGGCCGGGTGCCCGATCATTTCTGCGGTTCTGGCAGGTGCATCTTCTCGTGAGAGATGAACAAAGTTTAGGACACCTTTCGGTAAGCCTGCCTATAAATCATCTATCTGTTAATGTCGGTCTAGACAACGGAGTTTGATATTTATTACCTCGTGGAATAACTCGGTGATGATATGCTGGGTGCGGGGTGTCACCTCGGATGTCTTGAGAACTACGGTGTTCCCACAGATGATCGGAATCGCAAGTGCTCGGAAAGTCAAATACAATGGTGCGTTCCATGGCGCAATTGAGAAACTGTTAGCGAAAGACGCTCACGTCAGCGTCTAGGGGTGGTCCAGAGCCCCAAACGAAAGGGACACACATTACGCCTTGTGCCCTTCGCTGTGCCAACACTTGTCCACCCGGCACTAGAGATGGGAAGGTTTCGCCTCTGAGGAGCGCTATGGAGCCTGCCACCCAGCGCAGCAGGCCTATCGATGTCATCAGGTTGAATTGAACCATGTACTCGCCGGCGACGGCCTCAGCATTGATCGCTTCCGCGACTTTTGCCTTGTACTTGTCCGTCTCCAAGAGGTCGGCCGCCTTGAGGAAGTAATCGCGCTTGGTAATTAGAGGGGTGTGCTCCCATGTGCGGAAAGCCTTTGCGGCAGCATCGATAGCATCTTTGCAGTCGTCTCTTGATGCAGACGCAGCGAGAGTGACGATCTCTTTGGAGTATGGGTTGCGCACCTCGAAGGTGCCCTTGTCGCTCGCCTGGCGCTCCTCGCCGTCAATGTAGAGAGGTGTGAACGGAGTGGACATAGTTGTTATAGGCGGGGATGATAATGTGGGAGGTATGATGATGTGGGAGGTTTGTGGTGCGCATATATAGGCTTCCTTGACTATCTCTGACGTCCCTTCCGAAAGCCATTTACCGAGAAGGTGCTACCGCGACGCGGCCTTGGAAGTGTATCGCATGATGCCGCTCACCTACGCGGCTGCCATCGCATTGATTGCATATGCCAAGGCAGACAGGCAGAAAGGAGCTACAGGCTACCATTCTGACAGTGTGCGCAGCGTCCCGTGTATACGGTGATCCCCTGCCGGAATGCAGGCCCTGGAGGAAACCCCAGTCCCTGGATTGCGAACGGTCCCACGGTCTGGATCCTAGTATAATCCTTGACAGATATCCACTCCGGGACGCCACTGGGAAGATGTGTGCTCTTCTATTGGGTCGATGTACCTCCACGGAGCTGGATAACAATTGTTCCCGGTATACGTCGTTTGATCTTGTGGTGCAACGTTGCGCCCGATACTTCTCGTTACTCCGGGTCTGTCAATCAAGGCCATCACTGCTCGAGCGCATCTGGTATAGTGCCTGACTAGATACATTGCCTACGCCGCTTACAAAAATCGCCTGTGGACATGACATGCCATGCAGGTGGTGACATCGGGCAGGACCACATCTCTCATGGTCACTTGGGTCTTTTCGTCCAAGATTGGTGTCTTGGACACTGGAATGGAGGTGAGGAAGAGGAGGTGCGTCCGGTGATGAATTCGGCTCACGTGTATGATAACTCGGTAACATGATGATATCACAGGCCGAAGTACTTATTGTGGCTACCGAAGACTAGCGCTTCTATCGCATATGTGTATGGCTGAATCAATGAACGGCTTCTTTGAAATCCTTAACTTGCAGCGGACGAAAATGACAAATTTGTTTCTTGTATTCGGTCATCAAGGTCTCTGGGTTATTGTGGGGATACTCTAAGGGCGATGGATCGCTTCTGCAGCCTGTGGATTGATCCAACCTAAAGTCATCAATTAGAACAGATAATAAATGTCTCATGACACGGCTAGGCAAGTAGATTATCGATTTTGATTCAACTCATGCAGCCGCAAAGCTTGTACATGTGGTGGACTCTGTGGAGCCGAGGAGAACATATACCAGGCGCTATAACCTCCCTCATGACTAGTAAGAATGCTTCCGATTTCCCCTATCATGACCATCATTTCTTCTCAGGACCAGATAGAATTGGGTCGTTTCTGATGTACTCCATCAACCCAGACATCCACCTTTTCGTCATAAAAGGCGATGAAGCCCTTGATGTCTGCGCATTCAGGAAGCGGGACATGATACCACCATGCTATGTCCTTGAACGTTTCTCCACTCGGCGTTTTGACGCTGTAGTAGTTCGCCGTGCCCTATCCGATAATGCCATGGCATGTTTTATGTATACGTTTAGGCAATGACGAGGTACACTTACCTTGTACGGGCAAGAAGTAGTCAGATCCGATGAAACGAGCAGATCCATTCTGCAATCCGTCTTGGGGATATACGTCCTTACAGGAAGACTCGTCTCGAAAAGCAGTCGCGGCTTCCTAGTGTTGGCAACTTCGACACCGTTCACCTCGACACGTACATGGCGAGACGACTGGAGTACATCAACACGCTAAAGGGGGATGTCAAGTAACTAAAATCTCCAGGCTAAGATATGAGCAAACCTTATACGGGTCCTTTGGATGAACAAAGACTTGCTCTTCTTCCTCAAACCAAGCGTCCATAGCGCCAAATTTGATTTCAATCAGGCCTTCAAGGTCACCGGCAAGGTGTTCAGTAGCCGCTGCCTCGGCCTTGCGTTCACCCACGACGACGTCGTACGTTTGTACGTCCGCAGACTTGGATACCTCCTTGAGGTACCTCATTGGCACATCCGCAGACTCAAAGAAGTATGTGGGGTAATACGGCTTCAGCCATCTACGGCAATATAGTCTCGGATGTCAACGAGATTTAAACAGTCCCACTGCTTACACAAGTTTAGATCGCTGAGTATCAACGATGTATGTTCCCGCGAATAAGATGCGGATACGCCTGGGCGACGGTTCAATGTGCGGTTGAGTAAAGGGCGGCGCCATTATTTCACTACTCGTTGTTCACTGCGTAAAATCTTAGTGATGGGATGCCTGCTGCGTTCAGGAGAGGGAGGAAGAGAACTATTCAGCAGTCATGCTGGCACAATGGGGTTCTTGAGGAGCTAGGTATTGAGCCTCGAGCTCTTACTAAGTCCGAACCTAGCGGTGAAGTCATTTAGAAGTTACAAATACTTTCTGGTAAGTAATATTAGTAATATAATTATATCTGGCCAAGCCACGATCACGTGTCTGAAGTAAACGCGTAGCAGTTAGCTGATCTGTCGCTTCAAAGCCTGTATCCGTCCACAACGCGTCGTTAATCGCCTTTATTTCTTTGATTGACTGGGCTCATGACTACTATTGTTACGGATGACGATGTCATTCAGGACAGTGAAGATGAGCACTCCTTCGCTCGCGATACCATAGAAGTCAATCCTACGAACATGAGGCCGTCGCAATCTCCTGGCCAGCAACCCGCAATGGCCACAACATGTAAGAATCATTGTCTAGCCAATTAACATCACTGATTCTTCATTGTGATGTGCAGCAGCATCGACTATCCAGACCACTGATTTCACACCTCAGCCTCGTACTCGCGACTCTCGACAAGGTCCCGGCGACGGGTATAGCGATATTTCCACTTTCCCTCTGACCACAAATCCTGTGGCATCCACCATTGTATCGATATCTTCGGCTACAGGGCCGAAGTCAGGCAAGACTAGACCTCGTCCGAGGCCGGTGTATAAGGGCGCGGCTGCTGCGAAGGATGTTACTATTACAGACCCTTCTTCATCCATTAGGGCACCATCATCACCCAATGCCATGGGATCGCATGCGAGGGAGTCCACGAAAAATAGCAAAGAGAAGACAGCCACACTGCCTGAACACATACTGGAACCCTTTTCCTTGGACATCGCAGAACGCGCCAAACTGCGTTCTCGTGCGCGCACATCGACTGCGGCGAGCAAACAGCGCGCATACAGCGAGTTTGTCGCGGATGTGATCGATCTTTCGTCTGACGATGAATTCAACCTGCGTCCACCCGTACGTGTACCCAAAAGCAGGTCAAATGTAAAGGTGAAGACCACGGCTGCGAAACGGCGCGTCGATGCGTCGCGCATCCATGATTTGGAGCCTGAGTTACCGAGCGGGACTCTCCCTATAGCCACCTCCGATATCAGCTTTAACGTCGATATGAGCTCGCAGCTTCCACCATCAGACCCGCCCCCACCCTCCACGTCAACCCTGCCGCCATCGACACCCCCAACTCTGTCGCACGCCCCTCAGCCTCCACGAGATCGCTTGTCGTCGCCGCTTTCATCGCCTCCACCAGTGCCGGTGCGCAAACGAAAGAGATCCATGCAAGCAGCCGTTAGGAACGATGAGGGTACTAATCTTAGCCCTAGGATGCAAGAGCAGATTTCATCGTCGACCGCCATGCCGCCGCCGCCACCACCACCATTTTTTGCAGGATCCTCATCATCAGAAGCAGCAATCCCTGAGACGTTGGTAGATGTGGCACCATCTCCGGTTGCGCCATCTTTGGCTGTTTCAGGCGTAACAAAGAAAGGAGCAAGTTCAAAGGGAAAGAAGAAACCAGTTGATGATGACTTTGAAGATTTTGAGGACGGAGGTTGGGTTGACATCCCTAAACCTAAGCCCAAAGCTAGACCTCGCAAGAAGGCCGGCCAGGATGACGACGCCGATTGGGACGGACAAGAGGCGCTAAAGGGACGCAAGTCACGAAAGAAAGCGAAAGGTAGCGACGAAGAGGATGAGGACGAGGACGAGTGGCCTGCGAAGCCGAAACCGAAACCGAAACCGAAACCGGCGCCCAAGAAACGGGGCAGGAAGGGCACAGCAAGAAAATCGAAAGTCATGGAAGTTGTTATTGATGACTCGCCGTCGAAAGCGAACACGAAGAGGGCGACGAGAGGAGACAGCACAGCTAAGCCGCCAACAAGTAGGGAGATCGTGGATGACTCGGATGGTGAGCTATGCCCATTGGTACTCCCACCTGGAACGCCTCCTCGGACAGGCGAGGGACTTGTTACTTTTACAAGAACTAGCCGTAGAGAGGATCAGTGGAATGATGGTCCGGCGTCACTGCCACCTACGTCCATTCCGTTTCCAACTAGAGGAGCTGCGCCAGATGGTACTGAGGATATATCGCCAAGATTGTCAACGAAAAGTAAGGGGAAGAAGCGGGCTGTGGTTATCTCGGACGATGAAGATTTCGATGCAGCTGTGTCTACTCCTGGGTCGCCTCCCAAGAAGGTACGACGCGAACCAAGAGCACCCAAAAAATCTGCCCCTGCTGCGCTTGAGAGAGATAGTGAAGCTGAAGAAGAGGAAGATATTAGTACGAAGGTGATTAATATCTTTTCGACGTTTAGTCACAGAGGTTAATGCGATTTTACAGGAAAATGTCTATCCTTCATCTGTAAGCATGAGCACTCCCTTCAAACAACCTAATCCTCCATCGTCTGCAACCAAGCACCCATCTTCGAACCGTGCATATTCCATATCTTCGGGAAAGTCGACCCCAATGTCCGAGCTCATCCGGCGCGTCAACTCTTTGCCTGGATCACCGTTCCCTGCTGCAAAACCAATTTATTCTCCCTTTTCCAAATCATCCAAAAGCCTTCTAAAACGGATCGCACCTTTACATCCCAACCGGCGTACACCCCCTCCACCTCCACCTCGCCCCCCTCCGCCGAAGAAGAGCAAGAAGCAGCTCGAGCTAGAGGAGAAATGGGAGATGGAACTGGAGGAGAGTGTGGAGGGATGGTATTGTCTCTCCGAAGAGGAGCGGGCAGCACTACGCAGGGCCAAGAGGGATGCAGAGATGGGTTTCGAGGACTAATGCGACGACGGGTTGTGCAAGGAGCTTGTAAGTACCTTATACTATTGCGCGGTCTCTGGACCGTAATCTACTCTCGTAGTTCTGCCGTGTGCACACGCGTCCGCTCGCTTTGTTTGACCTTTGGTCCATAATTTTTGCCCCATTGCGCATCCGAAGGATCGCGTGCGACCCACTCATTACTCCGGTGGCTGATACTCCGGTGGCTGATTGACGGAAGATAGAGCGCATATAAAAAGGCGTCCCCCTCCATGGACCGAACACTCTATGCCCCACCGTCCACGGCTCGTATACGCCGAACTGGATCTCCATGCCGACAGTATCTTCGGGCAGAGTCCTCGTTACCGGCGCGAATGGCTATATTGCCATATGGGTTGTCCGTAGGCTCCTCGAGCAGGGCTACACTGTTCGAGGGACTGTGCGGTCTGAGAGCAAGGCGGAGTATCTTCACCAGTCCTTCGCTGCGTATGGAAACAAGTTCGAGACCGTAGTCGTCGAGGATATCACGAAGGTGCGCGTCAGTACCTGATTCACCCTGCTTGCAGCCACCGATCATGCGACTTGCTAGCTGGGCGCTTTTGACGAGGCAGTCAAGGGGATGGATGCCATTGAACATGTCGCGTCGCCAATGCATTTTAATGCGGACGATCCTGACGAGCTCATCGTGCCCGCAGTCAATGGCACGACGAGCCTGCTCGAGTCCGCACGCGTGTATGGTGCCTCAGTCAAGCGCATCGTCTTTACCTCGTCTTGCGCTGCACTCATGAATGTACAAGACACGCCGCGGGTCTTCACCGAGGCAGACTGGAACGAGCAGGCTATCGCCGAGGTGAGGGAGAAAGGACGCGCGGCGGCGCAGCAGACGAAGTATCGCGCGAGCAAGACGCTGGCAGAACGAGCGGCGTGGAACTTCATGGAGAAGAATAAGGATGCGCTCATGTGGGATCTTGTCGTAATAAACCCCCCTCAGGTGTATGGGCCCATGCTACATGAGGTACCAACCCCCGGAGCCCTGAACGCAAGCATGCATATGTGGTATTCTAACGTGATCGAAGGATCGCTCAATGCGTACCAGCTAGCAACAATGGGGTAAGATATCGTTGTCGTTACCCACACTGGTCATTGACCTTGCTCTTAGGTCTGTTTGGGTTGAGGTTCGCGATTTGGCGGATGCGCATGTACTTGCAATCCAAAAACCGGAAGCCGGCGGGGAGCGTATCATCGTTTCAGCACCTCCATTTAAGTGGCAAGATTGGTGTAAGTTGGTCTGCACTGTACGAGTTGCCACATCTCTCACGCATTAGACAGTAAATGCAGCCCGTGCATGCAACCTCGATACACCCCCCGGAAACGAATTGTACGATCCTGCGAAGGCAACTCATCACGTCTCGGTTGATACATCCAAGGCGGCAAAGCTACTCGGAATGACATACCGGTCTCCTATGGAGAGCGCCAGGGATATCGCTGCAGACCTCAAAACCAGAGGCTTCATCTGAGTTAGCGATCGTGTAACACCGAGTAGCTCTCCCGCGATAGTTAGCGTCCGCAATCAATGACAATCACGAACCTGGCGGACCAGCGTGCAGAACATCGAGCATTCGTCAAGTCTTTATTCAACCAACTCGACCTCATATAGCCCCTCCTCCACACGAAATCGAGTCGATTGTAGGGAGTAGAGGAAATGATGTTATTTCTCCCTTGTGCATCAGCAGATCGGTTGTTTGCCTGCTTTCTCGTATGAGTGCAATCACTGCAAGACAATGTCGCAGCAGAAGACAGAAAACCATAACTCGTACGTAAACGCAGAAGCTGGCGGTATTATCTTGTATCGATCGTTGCATGGAGGATACCAGCCTCATTTCGTCATTTCGTCCGAATTTGTTGGGTCACCTTTGTCAGACCATCTTCGCTATCGTTCGTACCGCCACGGACTCTTACTTGTCCTGCTCGTTGTCGTCGTTGTGGCCTACGCAACTACCACCTGGCCGGGGAGCGTTTGGGGCGGGAGATGCTGTGGCCGCCGTCGCTTTTAATCGAGTGCGCGTAGCCTCACCGGCGCTGCAGTCTCTTGCCCTATACAACAAGGCCACGAAGAACAAGCGTGGCCTCGCCTCTTCGCACCCACCACCATGATCAACCATTCTCACCACGTAGCCGATGTCGACGACGTCCTCGATCTATAATAACGACTTCGGCCGACGACATCCACGGTGTCAAACGTCGAGGACTGCTAGAACCTGTCTGTCCCTGAGGCCTGCGCACCGTGTGGTCGCGTCGAAGCCAGTCCGGCGTCTTCCATCCGATGCCATACATGTCAGCCAACCATACTGACCGATTTTATATACTTAGCACGAGATGCGAGCCATGGGGAACACGTTTGCGACCCCAAATTCAATCATTATTTGGGCGAAGTCGTGGGGAACTGCATGCGCAATTTCTTCGAAATATTTTGCTTGGTTGACACGGCATGGCTGGAAAGCCTGAAGTCCCGCGCCGTCTACAGCCGCTAATTTGTCAATCTACAACCTGTTCTAGCCCATGATCACGCTCGACGTCAAATGGCAACTTTCGCGCATTGTGCTTCCTGTATATCTATGGAGTCAGGACGAAGCAATGCTAGCAGTGGTGCTCTCTACCTGACATCCTACTTATAGTGCGATACTTCTATCCATTTCCGGCACCCAGACACCCTACCAAACAGGCCAATTCATTTTACTAAATGCTGAAGTAGACCCTGAGCACTCAGGAAGTACAGATCGTCGCGCCTGGACTTTCAGAAAGGAAAGCTGCGTGGCCAGGGCCAAAGTACTTGTATCAGCAAGGTTCGCGCCAGGATCATCTGCGAGTCTATGGAAGATTACAAGAGCAAAAGTGACTAGGGTCTTTTCGTGCTAAATATGAACGTGCAATTCAAGTGGCTATGCCGGTGTGAGTAGGCTTATTTTTGCACGATGCGTGCACGAACAGACGAACACAGTGTAGTTGTAGTTATCGCTTAACTGAAGAGCAGTACCGAAAACCCTGGCGGTGAAGATGCTCATTTAAGGCCCAGGAAGTTCATGAATGTGTACGATGTGTCAAAATGGACCAAGATGTTGAGGACAATGTCTCGTTTCAAAGAGCAAACCAAGACATGACACAGTCTGGATTTGAGATGGTGAAGGTATTCGGTGGTGAATTTTTGAATGCCGAACGCGGACGCGTTCGCATCTGCCGCACGGGCGTCACGAACGATCAGACGAAATCAGCTTCCCAAACAAATCCTCGCTGCCTATTGACAAGATGCAAATGAATCAAATTGGCACCCACAGCACCCCCGGAGCGTGACCAAGCACCTCGCTTGATGCAATGAATCCCTCTTCCCAATGACCGCTCGCCCGACGACGGTCCCATGTGTATAATCGGGATATAAATGCGACTCCTCTGCCCGAGTTGCTGTATAGCATTTGAAAGACGAACACGAGCTCGAGTTGAGTGAAGAGCATCGCTATGCCACCAGTAACTTCAGGAAAAGTGCTCGTCACAGGTGCCAATGGATACATCGCTACCTGGGTCATACATAAACTCCTGGAACAGGACTACTCTGTGCGCGGCGCCGTGCGATCCGAAAGCAAAGCCACGCTGCTACGCAAGGCATTTGCTGCCTATGGGGACCGCTTCGAGACCACTGTTGTGGAGGACATCACTAAGGTACGTATACCCGATTCAAACAAACCCTTCAGGAGAAAATGATTCACCTGGAGTTTCGTATCTTGCCGTAGGCAGGAGCATTCGACGAGGCGGTTAAGGGCATTGACGCGGTCGAACACACAGCATCCCCCGTCTACATCGCTACAGACGATCCAGACGAGGTGATTGTACCCGCTGTACACGGCACCACGCGTGTACTCGAATCTGCCCTCGCATATGGCTCCAACGTCAAACGCGTTGTCTATACCTCCGCGTGCGCGACAATCGTGCATGTCCAGGATGCTCCGTATACCTTCTCTGAAGCAGACTGGAACGATGCAGTCGTGGCGGAGGTTAAGGAGAAAGGACGTGCTGCATCGCAACTCGCCAAATACCGCGCTAGCAAAACACTTGCGGAGAAAGCTGCATGGGAATTCGTGGAGAAGAACAAGAGTAAGATTGGCTGGGACCTCGTCGTCCTCAATCCCCCTTATGTGTTCGGCCCTCCGATCCATGACGTGGCGCAATCTCCGGAAGATCTCAACGCGAGTATGAGACAGTGGTTTCAGAGTGTGCTGAAGGGTCCAGAGCTGCTCATAGACGGAGGGTCAGTCCTGGAACATAATCGTGTGTCCGTGCGTTGATTGATGCGATTGTTTTCCAGGATGTGTTGGACCGACGTTCGTGATTTGGCGGAGGCTCATGTGCTTGCCATACAAAAGCAGGAAGCAGGCGGAGAAAGAATAATTGTATCTGAAGGGCCGTTCAAGTGGCAAGATTTTGGTGAGCATGCACTCGTCTAAGTTCATACAAAGCAGCTGACTGTTGCATGCCAGCGATCGCGGCAAGTAAGCAGGGTATCAAGGTCTTCGTGAATGACGATTCCTATAACCCAACCAATGCCACGCATCACGTCATATACGATACTTCGAAGATAGCTAGGATCTTCGGACTGAAGTTCCGATCTATCGAGGAAAGTACTGCAGATATCATTGACGACTTGAGGGCGAGGGGCTGGATCTGAAGAGAATTCGTCCTATGTAGCAGGCACGCCTCAGGGGTCTTGTGTCGTACGTTGTCGATAAACGTTTAAAATCAATTCCGTCCATCGATGGGGCGCTCATAAGGCAGATCTCCATAAGGTGGTTAGGGTCGCGAGTGCATGGATATAATGGAGGGGGTTCGGCAACGAAAGTATAATTGCCTTGACTGGATCGTGTGAGTTGGAAGAGTGCAGCTGATTTTGGCTTCGTTTCAATTTCGCGTTTCATTCGCGTGTAATAACGGTGCACCAGTGAACGCTGCCCGCAAATGTCGTATAACCGTCAATCCACATCGAGAGACTTCCGGAGCTAAGAAGGTAAAACCAGCTATTGCTTAACGCGTCGGGTAGAAAGCTATCAGACTCGGCCAAGTCCAACTGAATACCGCTAGCCTCCCGTACTTAGATTGCGTAGAGTGGTCTCATAGCCAGACGTGTAGCACGAGACCCCTGTAAAGTCATCATCACTGATCAGTATAGACTGGGTGTCCGATCAAGACCAGGCTGCGGGATCATCTGAGTCAGGATAGCGGTGTGACCGGCCGTATACTGGAAACCAAAAAGGCTTTTCGTATACATCGATGAGTTTCTTGAGACCGTTGCGCTGCGCCAGAGTATCGGGATCCGGATATATGAACCATCTCGTTGCGTAACTGCCGACTGACACAAGTGATAATGAGCAGCTATGTTCCTGCATATGAACACAAAAGAGAACGGCGCACAGAGGTTGACAAGTTTGAGCATACAACTACAGTCCAGTGGTGCATAATAATATTACGAGGCAGCCGTAGCGCTCGGGATCGATAAGTACGCCGGAGTGATCGAAGACACGGAGATCGGCCGGGCCCGTTTGTTCCGTTGTGGGTGCATTGTGTTGTGAACCGTCCATTTGACAAAGTACCACTTGGTCAACGACAGCCACTGCTGCTCCGATGTCTGACCAAGCAGCAGCATCCATCAAGTAGAAAAAGCCCGGAGCCAGAGCCTTTGGGCCTCAGACAACCACATCCAACTTGAATAAGTTCGACACGAGCTCTATCATACCCGAAACGCTCTACGCGTGACGATCTTGTTTCGAGCCTAACCAAAGCCCGACATCTAAATAAAATATCCAGACTCTTCCAACAGAACACAAAACACCATGCCTACTGTCACATCAGGGAAAGTCCTTGTCACCGGTGCCAATGGTTTCGTTGCCGCCTGGGTTGCGCGCAAACTCCTTGAGCAAGGGTATTCCGTTAGAGGCACTGTCCGATCCATCAACAAAGGCAAGTACCTGCAAAACCTCTTATCCTCCTACGGCGATCGTTTCGAGACCGTTATCGTCGAGAACATTACCAAAGTGCGCGACGACGTTTTTCCGCTGTACTGTCCGCAACATATGCTAACCTTGACGATGCATACGTTCTGTGCAGGAGGGAGCATTCGACGAGGCGGTCAAGGGCGTTGATGCGATAGTACATCCAGCATCGCCTGTTCATCTGAACATAAATGAGCCAGACGACGTCATCGTACCTGCTGTCCAGGGGACAAAACGCCTCCTAGAGGCCGCGCTTGCGCATGGGAACGCGGTCAAGCGCGTAGTCTACACTTCTTCCTGTGCTGCAGTCCTCGAGTTCCTGGATACACCACGAACGTTCTCGGAGACCGACTGGAACGAGAAATCCCTCAGAGAAATGGAGGATCCGCTACAAAGCTATTGCGTCAGCAAGGTCCTTGCGGAGAGGGCTGCATGGGACTTTGTGGAACAGAACAAGAACAATTTAAGCTGGGACCTGGTTGCACTCAACCCCCCGTATGTATTTGGACCTCCCATTCAGGATGTGCGATCGCCGGAGGACCTCAATTCTAGTATGGCGCATTGGTTTGAGAGCGTCGTGAAGGGATCACTTGTTGAAGCAGAAGGGTAAGCCTATCGATGAGATTATATTGCGAGCTCCTCGTTGATTTCCAAATAGAAAATGCTGGATCGATGTGCGCGACCTTGCGGAGGCGCATGTCCTCGCCATTACATCTCAGGAAGCCAGCGGGGAAAGAATTATTGTCTCCAAGGGAGCCTGGATATGGCAGGATTTCAGTAGGCCCGAATCGCTGAATATTGCATCAACCTAAGCTGATTGATAAACCTTAGTCACTGCGGCACACAAGGTCGATGCTCAACTTCCTGCGGGTGACGAGTCTTACGACCCCACCAGTGTGACACATATGATCCAGTTCGACACCTCGAAAGCCACTCGAATCTTTGGATTGAAGCTTCGCACTCTAGAGGAGAGCACACGCGATATGATAGAGGATTTCAAAGCCAGGGGTTGGATTTAGTTTGACTTGAGAAGCATTATCGAGTTGCCGATGACTAGTCACTGGTCTTGTCCATCTATGCTATCAGCGAACCGTTTCACCACTCGAGCTTTCGCATTCATCATGATGGGGAATATGAGGATCAACAGACGCACAGTATACACTGGAACTAAATTTGATTTCAGTGATGTGCCTCAATCAGGTGTCAATATGATTATTGCTCCCGTTTCTAGACCCAAGCAATTGCTCCCCCGAGGGACGTCCGGGAGCGAAGATGACTGATGCCGATGAAGGCCCGTTCCTTCCATGCACTCGGTACGACCGCATCGTTCGCTTGACAACCAAGGGATCAGCCCATTGCGGTTCCACCCAGATCAAGAACTGGCCGATAATTATTTAAGCTTCCCTCTCCGACAGGCTGCGCGAGTGGTCGTCGGATGCAAAAGAACCTAGATTTCGAAGCACCCATCATTGGCTCCCTCTTCAATCACTTGTGGTTAACCACAGCCTACACGCCAACACAGTAAGAACAATGCCCCCAATAAGCTCAGGAAGAGTGCTTGTCACAGGCGCAAACGGGTATATCGCAATCTGGATTGTACGGTCATTACTCGAACGCGGATACTCCGTGCGAGGGACAGTACGCTCTGAGGATAAAGCAAAACATCTTCACGATACATTCACTGCGTATTGGGGCCGGTTCGAGACTGTCATCGTGGAGGACATAACCGAGGTGAGTGTAATTTGTACACGCTCGAAGTGTCACAATCTGAAACGTGGTGTAGGCAGGGGCCTTCGACGAGGCTGTCAAGGACGTGAGTGCAATCGTGCACACCGCCTCACCAGTTTATATAGAGGATGAGGATCCGGACAAGATGATCGTACCTGGAGTGAAAGGGACGGTACGGGTGCTCGAGTCAGCACTAGCGAACGGCTCCTCCGTCCAGCGCATCGTCTACACTTCGTCTTCCGGATCAGTTCTCCAGTTGGAAAACATGCACCGCACATACTCCGAGGCAGACTGGAATGATGCGGCCGTAGAAACCGTGAAAGAGAAGGGTTATGCTGCGTCGCAAATGTCAAAGTATTGCGCTAGTAAAACGTTGGCGGAAAGAGCTGCATGGGAATTCGTTGAGAAGAACAGGAATAGGATCGACTGGGACTTTGTCGCGCTCAATCCACCGTTTGTGTTCGGACCGGTCATCCACGAGGTAGAAAAGCCAACATCTCTCAATGCGAGCATGATATGGTGGTTCTACAATGTTGTCGGTGGACAATTGCACCCGACGGAGATTGGGTAAGCTACGTCGCTTTGTGCAGTGTTGCAACGTTTTGGACTATGAGTAGGATGTGTTGGATTGATGTGCGCGATCTTGCGGAGGCGCATATACGCGCGATGGAACGAAAAGAGGCGGGTGGGGAGAGGATCATTGTTGCTGAAGGCACTTGGAAATGGGAAGACTGGGGTATGTTCGGCTCCCTTACAGTGCATACAGAGGTTTTAAACGTCCGCGATAGTGAATGCCTTCCGCCAGACTGGTGCCTCAATCCATGCGGATTCCGAGGCTTATGCTGCCAGTGTCACTCACCAGATCCTATTCGATACTTCAAAAGCGGCCAGACTTCTCGAACTATCGTATCGCTCTCCAGCGGAGACGACTCACGACGTGTTGGAGGATTTCAGAACAAGAGGTTGGATTTGACTTGAGAGAAAGGGTTTGACGATACGTCCATGTTAGTCTCGTATGGTATGCGAATGTACATACTGTATGGTCTTCCTATGTCTGATACTTAACACTCGAGCACATGTATAATTGTTGGTCGCTGTAACACTTCTTACAAAAGATCATGATGACGGAGAGACTCGAAGCGTGGACCATGCAGCTGATCCGGCTGTGCAGCCAGTACTCCGACCGAACCGGCATCAGTTCGCACAGCCCGTCCGTGGCGTCCGAGTCTTGCAACTACAACGACCCGCACTGGGCTGGTCTCCGCCAATTACTACTTGCTCCATTTAATAACTTCTTTCCCCCATGTCTGTCATCCATCCCCAGCTACATAGCACGTTCGATAGCCTAAAGTTCCAACTCAAGGACGCGTTCTGGGCACTCTCGTCGTGTATATGCCAGCAGTCCGCCAAAGTCAAGATCAATGGTCGCACATGTCAGTCAATCTCGCCCCCATGTTATCACCCATGTTTACTTCGACGATGATAACACGTTCATATTCGCAGTCAAAATTGTTAGAGTACTAGGCGAAGGAGGCTTCTCGTTTGTCTACTTGGCCGAGGACGAGCACAGCGGGGTACGTATTAGCTGAACTTCTCGCTATCACTCGTCTTTTTTTTGGCTATAGATACTGTCTCATTGTATCGTTGAGAGGTCGTGCTTCTATTTATTGTGAATCCCCAGCCGATCTGAAAACGGGAGCCTTATTTCTCATTCTTGCCTTCACTGCGCAGTCGGGTCTAGGGCTCATGGTATATTGTTATCTAGAGACAATTCGCCCTGAAGAAAATTCGTTGTCCAAGTGGCCATGAAGACGTGAGGCAGGCTATGCGTGAGGTGGAGGCATACAGGCGGTTTAAGTAAGTGCTCCCCGCCGTCTGAGAGTTGTCTTCTCATGAATGAATGACAGACATCCAAATATCATTCGAATCCTGGTATGCTCCATTGTTTTTTGCATCGTCATTAACGACTAAGAGGTTGACAAGGATTCCGCAGTTGTGCAAGACCCCAATGGGGACGGCCAAGTCGTCTACCTCTTCTTGCCTCTGTACAAGGTAGTTTTCTTATGTGTTTTACAGGTGATCGTACTCATGTGTCCTAGCGTGGAAATCTCCAAGACGCGATAAACGCGAATTCGATCAATAACAACCACTTTTCAGAGCAAGAGATGCTTCGTCTTTTCAAGGGAACATGTGAGGCCGTGCGCGCAATGCACGACTATCATACGCCTCTTGCGTCCTCGTCCGACCCTTTTCCATCGCGCGAAAATCAGTCATCAGCCGCGCATGACGACATTTCTCGCCGGCCATCACTCGATGAGGAAGGCGGATACCATGATAATGCGAGTACAAATGGGTCGTCGGTACCGCTGATGTCTGCTCATAGACCTGTGGACGAGCGCGAGCCTATTTTTGGCGGGGATGAGGACCTTGCGCGCATTCAGCAAAATGGTGCGAGTGAGAATGCGCAAGGCGGGCAAGCGGAGTTAGTGCCGTATGCGCATCGGGATCTGAAGCCCGGGTGAGTTTAGGTTAGCTTTTAAATTTAGGGTGCAGTCTCACTAGCGGTGGTGCATGGTAGAAATGTCATGATCGCAGATGACGGCTCTCCAATCCTGATGGACTTCGGCAGCACGATGAAGGCGAGGATCAAGATCGAGAACCGTTCTCAGGCGTTACTGCAGCAGGTAAGTCCGTCAGTATAGTGGGTCGCACATCCTTCATCTTTTCGTGGTGTCGCAGGATATTGCAGCAGAGCAATCGACAATGGCCTACCGCGCGCCCGAGCTCTTCGATGTGAAAACCGGAGTCACACTTGACGAGAAAGTCGACATCTGGGTGAGCATCTAAAAATTGGCAGACGCATGATCCTCACTAATATACCGCGCTATCTAGTCTCTCGGCTGCACGCTCTTCGCTCTCGCCTATTCTCATTCGCCGTTCGAGAACATGCAGACGACCGAGCAGGGCGGATCAATAGCAATGGCCGTCATGAACGCGCAATACAAACATCCTAGTTCGGCTTACTCGCAGGGCCTGAAAAACCTTATCGATAGCATGCTGAAGAGTAATCCTCAGGATAGACCTGACATTCATCAGGTTTGTCTAGCGATTCTATCGTGATACGGCGAACTCCGTTTAATGACCGCATCATAGGTCATAGAGATGACAGACCGTGCGTTGCAAAGTCTGCGATAATGGCTGCATGACAGGAAGGGATATTTGTGTCATTGGATAGTAAGGACTTGCTCTTTAAGTTTGGCTATTTATTCCTTGACTTCTCAATGGAAATCGCTGTCCCGCTTGCACGATACCGCCTGCGACTACAGAACAGTGCTCTATACTTGACTTGACTAGACGTCTTTGTCGCGTCGCTTTCGCTTCGTCCCAACTCTAGCGTCGGGAGCATGTATGCGGCTCCGTCCTTCTGGTTTGTCATGCCGAGTAGGTTTTGCAATCGATCCGTCATCTACTTTCGTGGATTTTGGGCGTTTGGGTTTAGAGACAGTGGTTGGGTTTAATTTCGTTGGGGCCTTTTTGAGGCTTTCACTAGGCTTATCTCGCCCTTCTTTCCGCTTTTTGTGAGACTTTACGGGAGAAGGTGTCGATGGGTAACCGGCATCAGCGTCCCCCCTCGATGCCTGTTGGGCAGCCTTCTTCGCCGCCTTTTTTGCTATTCCATCCGCCTTAGCTTTCTTGTGTCTCTCCCGCTTGGCCTTGATGATGGCCTGTTTCTCTCGCTATTTGATGTCAACAATGGATAACACGCAGTGAAGTAAGCAACAGCACGCACCCTCTTCTCAGCTCTTTTGGAAGGCTTGCCGTTTGTCGGCTGCTCCTTAGTCTCCTGCGGGGGTTGCTTTAATTGCGTCGTCACGATCTTCCTGACGCTCGTGCCAGGCTCTGCCTTACTCGCTACTTGGACAAAGAGTTTGAATCTTCGAACATGTGCCTGTCGTAGTAATATAGCAAACAAGGATTACGCGAACGAATGATGTCACGCACGTTAGACGACCTGTGCACCTCCGCCATAGTTTCATTTTTGAGAAGCTTTCCTGGACATATGGCGCATCCCTGCACTTCGGGATCGACGGAAATGGTATATAGTGGATCCTTCAACGCCTCAGCGAGGGAGAGCGTCGGCTCGTCGTCGGATACATCCTCGATTTCTTCGTCGCTGGCTGCGCTTTCCTGCACATCCTCGTCTTCATCCTCACCCACATCCCCATTTAGCTGAGACTCTTGGTCGCTTTCTTCACCTTGTCCTTCCGACTCATCATCCGAGCCCGATGCCGAAGAGGATTCATCCGAGTCGGTGTCGTGCAAACCCAGAATTTCTTTTGCCTCTGCGTCAAGCCCGAGCGCCTCGTCTTCTTCCTGCCTCTTGATTCTCTTTGCTACTCTCTTGAACATTATAAACCTATTTCAGACTGTAGTGCGGGGGTAGAGTTGAAGCATCCAGAAGCGGAGCCGGCAGGAAGCAGTTTGGCAAGATCCAAGACAAGAGGCCGCGGAATTTCAGCGGCTTTCGAAGTGATCGGTGTCCACGTGATCGCGACCGGGATTTTCGAATCGTGAAACGCCTGCAATGCCACCGTCTTGGACAGCTTGCACTTGCACTTTGGTGAGGACGTGTTCCTTCATTGGTTCGGATTGGAAACGACTTCTATACCTCTACTCTGGGACACATTTCTCTGCTGTTGGACTACCGGAAAATTGCTGCCTATTGATTGAGGAGGAGGCTGCCGTCTGCCTCTGCATTGAATGCATCGCATTTCTCGCCTCGGAGAGGCTGCATCTCCCAGTGGGGCCCTGCTTTCTTCAAGTACCCGACGTCATGCGTCGAAACTTTATCCACAGCGCAAGCCACCACGGCCTCTGTTGCTGAGCACAGAAAAGTATGACAAACTTGAATCCACCACAAAGGGTCTTGCAGGGGCGGTCGCCAGAAAGCAGCTAAAGCCAACCTGGACTCGCACGAGGATGCCGGAGGGAGAGCAAAATCGCAAAATGGCTCGAGCTATTCAGGGCTTGCGGAACCCCACAATAAGCCCGTCGTTAGACAAGCAACAGTTCTACTCAAATCCGGTCGAGGACTGGGATCCAAATCTGCAGCAGTTGGACGTTGTCGGGAAGCAGAGGTTCAAGCCGGGGACTATGGTTGAGATTCGGAGGTGAGCATGTGTGTCGTCTGAGCATGTTTTCGCGACGTCTCATCATGTGTAGGAGTGAAATCACAGCACACGGCGTTGTCTTATTCGATATCCCAATCGAAGGACAGTGGGTCGTGCATACTCTCACTTCAGGCGGGGAAGTTTGGGCACATGGTGAACAGGACGTCATGTTCGCGGTTTCAGAATTCGTTCCGATAGATCTCATTAAACGCTGTGGGGTCAACCTAGTCGTTCAAAGCGACGCTGAAACATACGCACGCGTAGAGGTTCTTAGACGCTTGCGAGGTCTTGTAGTGGCACAGGAACGTAAACTGGTCGAGCTCTTCTACCCCCTCCGACAAATCTACGAACATTTTAAACACCGGGATCCAAAGCAATGGTCGGAGATCACTACTGACCGAGCGGCGAGGTTTTTAGATCCAAACTCACAAACACCCTCTGTGGTCACCATGTTCGCTGTTCATTCGTACCTGTTCGCGAGATACAGGCAATTCGTTGCAGACAGGATGAATTTCCTGACGACAAGAGCCTTCTGGATTCGGCCTCAGCAAGACGTGGATGACATCAGTGCAGTCGACTCCATGGTTCTTGATAAGGACCCGCGCTTGGAGAGCTTCATCCAGAAGGCGAAGCGTCTTATCGCAGCTGCGAAATTGCGAACGCTGAAGACGTGGAGACAGCCCATGTCGTACGAGCAAGATTTGGAAAACAAGTTTACCCCGGACGATATGAGGATCATTCGATACATGCAGAGCACGCTGCGGCAACAACGCACTATTCAGGCTAATGCATATATAGTATCTCTAGCTACCATCATGAAGAGAATAGGCGGATATGATTTGGACCGGTATGACAGCGACGGGGTATTTCGACTACTTGTAGACATGGGTGTCCTATCTCCCTGGCAGGATCAAGTCTCCTATGAATGGTCCGCGTCCGAGTCTCTGGGATGGCAACAAAAAATGCAAACCTCAGATGATCTCTCTGCCAGGGGGGCTTCGCCCGCTTCTCTCCCATTACCTCCACGCCGTCCTCTGGGTCCAAATGACTTCTATTCACACGACGTCGTCGATTCACTCCGTCACGACTTCGGCGACATGCCTGTCTACGTCATAGACGATGTACAGGCGCATGAGCTGGACGACGGCCTCTCCATAGAACGCATTCCAAACGAGCCCGACAATTTTTGGTTACATGTCCACATTGCCGACCCAACATCGGTACTTCCACCAAGCCACTTTCTTGCGCAGCGCGCTCTGGACCGCAATCAGACATCCTATTTTATCAACAGGACTATCCCTTTGTTACCTCTCGATAGCTTTGGTAGCCTCAGTCTGCGCGAGAACGCATCGCAACGCGTCATGACATTCAGTGCAAAAACCGGCAGCGATGGTCGCATTCTTGACTACCGTGTCCGACCCGGGATTGTCAAAAATGTTCATATTGTCAATTACAGTGGAATTGATTCGGCCATGCAATGGGACGTTCCTCCTTTTTCATATCCATTCGGGGTCAGCAAGGGCTCACAGCCACTCCCTCTTGATCTGGACGAGTCGATGCGGTCCGACATGTCTCTTCTCCGTGAGATCGCGACACGTGTCTCCAGAAACCGCGTCAAGAACGGAGCTGTGACGATGCTCAATCCCTTTGTAACGATTTCTGCAAAGTCGGAGAATTTTCCTCAGGTTCCTCCGTGCCCGACCGCCCCTTACCTCTGGTCTGGATTTCCTCAATTGGAATATGGAGTAAACGACCAACGAGCTTCGGAATCTGGCGCGAGGCTTGTTGTTGCGGAATCAATGAGGACTGCGTCCCGAGTGGCTTCCATGTTCTTCAGAGATCGTGGTGTCCCTACTATCCGTCGTGTTGTGCAGCAGCCGACGTTTCTCAAAGAAGAAGATCAAGAACGACTGCTGACTGCCCGTGATGAGTCCGGGTTCCTCCACTTATTTGATTCGCTGGACATTGGTGTCATGTTTTCGCCCGCAGAATACCGTCTTGCGATCGGGCCGCACTGGGTCCTCGGGATTCCGGAAGATGAGGGCTACGTGCGCGTCACGTCGCCATTGCGGCGCTTCAACGACCTGCTCACGCACTGGCAGATAAAATATGCGCTGCTGGCACCCACACACCCGTCTCCATGTATGTTCGACAATGCATGGCTGACACAGTTTGCACGGAACCTGGCCATGAAGGAGAGGCGGGATAAGCGGATCGCACTTGGGCACGAGCAGTACTGGGCGCATGTTCTCGTGGAAAGGTGGATGAAGGAGCGACATCTTGGCTGGAGAGACGGGCCAGACCCGCTGGATTCGCTCACTGCGATAGTGCTGTCACACTCGGTATTCAACAGCTACCGGCAGCAATACCAGTATCACGCACTCATTCCGGAGCTTGGGCTCAAGGCGAGATTGGCCGCTCGTGTTGGTGCGGACACGATTCCTGTTGGGGCGAAGATAGCCGTTAAAATTCAGTCGCTTGCCCTGGGCTTCACGCCTCTTATCACGGTAGTGCCAAAGCCTGGGTCGACTTGAGCACTGTTTGTCGTTGACCTGTAGATCTCTGGACTATCTTACTGTACGTATAATACCGATACACTAATACTACCAGCGCCTCTCAGATGCTGACTGTCGGTCTTGTGAGAGCCGAGGATCTGGACGTCGCGCGAATGACGCTTCCTGCCCGATGTTCGCGCCCGCAAGCCGCGAAGCAGGTCGCGTGGCACGGCTGAAAATGCCTGAGATCTCTGCGACTCGGAACATACGAGCAAAATCACTTTGTGAGCCGACTGGCTTGATAACGAATGGGACCAAAGTTTGCGCCCGACGTGTGTTACGCAGGCTTGCGGAAATTGCGCATCCGCTCCACTGTCGCTGCGCATTGTCGACGCCGTAGCAAATTGCCACCGGACCTGTGGTGGTACCACAGACTGCGGAAGCAGATGGTGCCACAACGGGCGAGGCGCCGTCGAGCCGCGTAGTAAAATGTCTCGGCAAGTCTAGTACGAGACGAGGTGTGTTGCAGGGGCTCTCAGAATCTAATCTCGACCCCTCTATCGCCAGGAATAACAGAAAATAGGGTCAGGGTCCGGGGAGGAGAGCGAATTGGAAAGTTGGCGGGGTGCTGTTTCGCCTGCCCCGTCTGGGTGGGATCGATTCCCTTTTATGGTAGGTGAGGATGGTTCGACGTTGCGCCCACGGCCTATATATTTCGTTGCCACCCCACCTGCGTTCCCAAGCCGTCGGCCATCCTCTCTCCCCGCCATCCTCTTTTTTGTCCGAGAGTCTCTGTGCTCTCTCCTCCCACTCGTCATGTCGACCACAAACTTCTCCGAGCCTTGGGCAGGATACCTTGACCAGGCCCAGGTTCACCTTTCGAACACTTCGTTGCCTCGCATGCTCTTGCTCCTCGTCGTAAATATACCCGTCATTGCGGTTGCCCTCAATGTCGTATACCAAATGGTGCGTGGTCGTGGTCATCCAGCCCCCAGCCTCGTTGTTTACTTACCGCGTTTGTAGCTGCCTCGTGATCGTTCCTTGCCTCCACTCGTCTTCCATTGGATCCCGTGGTTTGGCTCTGCAGCTGCCTACGGCCAGGATCCAGTGGAGTTTTTCAAATCGTGTAGAGAAAAGGTACACTCTAACTTCTATTTGTGATGGGCCATGTGTCATTAAACTCCACCTGTCAGTATGGCAACGTTTTCTGCTTCGTGCTTCTTGGAAGAAAAGTCGTCGTCACGCTCGGTCCGAAAGGTAACGACTTCGTGTTCGGTGGAAAGCACACGGTGATCGCCGCAGAGGAGGTTTATTCAGTATGTTCCATGCATGTTTGCCGCCATCTGCCGCATACTAATCGCTTCCAGCCTTTGACCACGCCCGTGTTTGGAAAAGATGTCGTTTACGATTGCCCGAACGAGGTGCTCATGGAACAAAAGAAATTCGTCAAGGTCTCTCTCACCACAGACAAGTTCCGCGACTATGTTGGCATGGTCGAGGATGAAGTCACGCAATTTATGAACAGCGACCTGGCTTTCCGCATTTTCCAGCTCAATGACATCAATGAATGGGGCGCCTTCGGTTCCTACAAGACGCTCGCCGAAATGACTATCCTTACGGCCGCAAGGACCTTGCAGGGCAGGGAAATTCGCGAAAACATGGACAAGGGTTTTGCTGATCTGTATCACGATCTCGACCACGGTCTCACCCCCCTGCACTGGATGTTTGAGAATCTTCCTCTGCCTAGTTACCGCAAGAGAGACGTTGCACAGGAGAAAATGAGTCAGTTCTACCAAAACATTCTGCGCAATCGTCGTGCGGGAGATGGAGATGTACGTACTGTGTTGGTCCTTTATGTTGTTTGCATGCTCATTGTCGACAGTATGAGGATGACGTCATGGCCTCGTTGATGAGGCAGACATATCGTGACGGTCGCCCCGTTCCGGATCACGAGATTGCTCATATGATGATTGCGCTGCTCATGGCTGGTCAACACACCAGTTCGTCGTCAACGGCTTGGGTACTCCTGCATCTTGCGGACCGTCCTGATATTGCGTATGTCTGCGTTCTCTATTTTGACAGTGCAGCCACTTATATGCAGGATAGTGAGCAAGTTTATCAAGAGCAAGTCGAGCATTTCGGTATTCCCGGTGGTGGCTTCCGCGAAATGGCATACGAAGACATGAGGAAGCTCCCCATCCTGGACGCTGTCATTCGAGAGACCCTTCGTGTTCACGCACCTATCCACAGCATCATGCGCTATGTCCGTAGCGACGTTCCTATTCCCGCTTCGCTCGGTGCGCCCTCGGAAGACAGTGTGTACGTCGTACCGAAGGGCTACACAGTACTCGCCTCGCCTTCCCTCAGTCAGATGGACCCGCTCATGTGGAAGGATGCGAACACCTGGGACCCTACGCGGTGGCTCGATGCAGCGGGTATGGCAGCACAGGCAAAGAGGGAGTATGATGATGACACAAAAGTGGACTTCGGATTCGGACTGGTCAGCAAGGGCACGGAGAGCCCGTACCTGCCATTCGGTGCCGGCCGTCATCGGTGCATTGGCGAGCAGGTGTGTTCCTTGGTGCAACCCTTACAATGCCATGATACTTATGTGTTTTCTATAGTTTGCCATGGTTCAAATCAGTTCTATTGTTGCAACGATGCTCCGGAAGATCGAACTGCGGTTAGAAGGTCCTTTCCCCAAGTCGGACTACTCGGTGTGTGCTTTTTTGTTTTGTCGCCCAGTACCCTTACTGAGATCAATTGCTTAGTCGATGATGGTTGTTCCCAAGGAGCCCTCGCTTATTGCGTATCGTCGACGGAACTTTGACTGAACTCTCAGATTGCAAGACACTATACAACACGGCTGTAGACTAGATTTAACTCACTCTAATGTTAATTAGTACCACATTGACGTATAACAGGCCCCTCTTTTGGTGATGTTTGGATAACTTGAACGTGTCTCAGTTTAAGAGCTAGTATCATTTGTTAGAGCTTAGCATTATTCCTGTGCAGCATATAGTGGTTCCACACTTACACGATGTACTTCATAATGCGAGTTGTCTGGGAGACGTTCAGTTCTTTCGTATTCCTTGGAGGTGTTTCGGTGGCACGGTGGCACCCGCGGTGTGTCGCTCGAACGTTCCTACTCACCTGCTAAAACGGGTGCATATTCACATCAAAGCGCGGCAGCTGGAGTTGGCACGAGACGCGCCGTCCGCTCTCTCTCGCAGCACCCGCCATGTCCTCGTCCTGGCCGACGCTCTTCGTGCTCGTCATAGTCCTTGTCCTCATGGCTGTCGCCTGGTTCGGCACACGTAAAGGTCCAAACCAGACGTAAGATGCTCATTGGCTTTGGGCGACCGCAACTGCTCACAACGTCGTCAGGCTGATCCGCACGAGCCTCATGCTCGCTCTGGCGTGCTGCTATCTCATGTGGGCCGTGACGTATCTGGCGCAAGTGCATCCTCTAGAACGTGAGCTTTTGTATGGTCAGATGGTTCTCCTTTCGGTGCTAACGGTTGTCTCCTAAGGACCACGGAAGTCACTGGTGGAGGAGTAAGGGGCGGATGTATTGTTGTTCTGAGGACTGTTTCGTCTTTTGTGAGTATCATGCTTCTTCCAGCGAGAAATATCCTGGTGACGTGTCCACCCTAGACATAATTAATGTGCTATATACAATTGTCTCCCCGAGATATCCAGCTGCTCCGCGTGCCCACATACAACCAGCATTTCATGACCCCCAACCACCAATGGAATTGAATGTGTCTGACGCGTTAGAGTCATCCCACCCACCTGTTGTTGACTTCCATGAATCCCAATTGCCCACCAAATCGTGGGGCGCCAGGGATGGCTCAGTCACCTCGTCTCCATGCGTTATCTTCCGAAGTGGGTCATCGTGCCATATAACGCCTTCAAACCCCTTGTGGTCACCATCATCGGGCGTCACGAGCTCTTCGAACGAGCCGACAGAAGACGGTGAGTTGTTGTTATGCTGCATATCTAGTGTTTGCTCTTGCCAGAGAACTTTCTCCTTGAAAACCCGGCCTTTCAAGACTATCTCCCAGTTTGACAGGGTTTTTGTATGCGAGGAGCATAATTGCAAATCTGGATGCACATCAACGGCCTTGATTAGGACATCCAGCCAGCCTCCGCATTGCTCAGAAATTGCATCCTCAGACCACAGCTCCCCGACTCTCATGACCGTGTCTTGATAGTATACCATCTTGTCTACGACACATATGCCAATCTCGTCAAGGGCCTGTGGCTGATGGGTCCGCTCGTGTGCAATATGCTGGTGCGTAGCCAATAGCTTGTGTTTCGGCCTATTTTCTGTCCTTTGCAGTACGGATGCTGCTAAGAGTTTTGCGCACCGATGTTCCTCGTGCGGTTGGCCCTCCCGCCTTCGAAAGGCGGCAACTTGGGAAGCATAACCTAATTCCTCGTCGCGCCCCCACTCGTCCTTCTCAACCGGTTTCCCGACGCCGCTTACGTCGACGTCATACCCCCAGTCCTCGGCGACAATTTGACACCACTGGCGGAATTCCTCCACGGTCCACTCGAACTTATGGTCGTGGTGACGAAAGATGCGAGTTGTACGACCTGTTGGATCTGGGAAGCCGTTCCGTGCGCTGGAAGGTACATCTGGAGGCAGAAAGCGCGTATTGAAGGTGTATGATGGTGTCGTGATTAGGAGCAGCCGTGGATGATATGCGCCGAGCAGAACGGGCGCAAAATCCCGCAAGGTCTCGTCAGGCAAGTGCTCAATCCTGTACACGCGTGTTAGGTGTGTTTATTGTCGCTCATAGATAGGGTTATCGTTACGCACACTTCTGTTGAAACGATGCATTCAATGCCGATGAATTCAGGATTGATCGACTCTAGGCTACCTTGCCAGATGTTGACTTCAAGAGGACTCCATCGAATCGAGTTGCGGGGCGCTGTGCCTTCGATCGCGTACTTCAGGTCGTTGGGAGCGATGTCAAGTCCAATGACCTTAGTTGGGTGAAGGTACACTTCTGGAAGTGCCGCTGCGATATGGAAATTGTCGCAAGCGTCCGCTGTGTTGCCCGCACAATTAGCCAGCGAATCCAAGACGGATGTTGGCGGGGGAGGAAGCCATGGTGCCGGGTTGCATAGACATGAGATGAGCTCTCCCTCTCCGCAGCCGACATCCAATACCTGCATTCTTCAATACACTATGGCCACAAAGAAGAGAGGGCGTGCTTACCGTGTGCACATCCTCCCTCCTCAAGATCTCGAAGATCCAGCCTCGTCTCTCAAGATACAACGGGGGTTGAAATGTTACAGTCAGTTCCTTCACATCGCCGCTACTGGGACGTGCCATTTGTCGGGAAGGTGTGGTGTGTGACCTGCTGATTATGAATGTTGAACGTTGAGATCGAGAGGCTCGGGAGGTCGCCTCAGCGTAGAGGCCGCTTGTTTTTGTCGGGACTGCGAGGGCTGCCTCAGGATCTGTGCTTTACCGATAGTGTTTATAGAGTCATGGCTTCAGAGTGGCTGAAGGTCGAAGAGAGTTGAGAAGACGTGGGGTTCCCGGCCACAGCGCCTGCGCTTCTGCGACTGCAACCTGCACGAATCTTGAGTCGCTCGGCGCAAAGCAAAGACAAAATATTTCTGACCTTCTCGAGACAAACCATTTTCCAACAAAGCACGGCAGGGCCCAAACAATGAGAAGAAAAGCTGATACCCAATGTTGAGGACCTGAAAAGCCTTAGTCAAACTTGAACGAGAATTGGACATGCGCGTCTATTTCACCTGTTTCCTTACCACAACATGACCGCTGTGATAGCCGCCACTGCAGCGGCGGGGGCCCCCCCCCCCCCTTTCCC